AATGGCCGACTTCCTGTTTGATATTGACCATGGTTGCAAGAGACTTTTCTGTGCGGACTGTTGAGTATTACAAGTTTACCAAATTTCATAACCGTACGATAAACTAAGCTTTATGGAGAGGGGTATTTTTCACTTTCTAGGGGGCGCTGTTCAGCCACTTTTTTACGAACTTTCACATCGCCAGTAAAATACGTAAATTTCACGCACTTTCTATATTGAGCCAGAATTTGGTGACTTTTTGGATATGCTAAGACCCCCTAAAGGCCATTCAAAGACGCGGAAGAAAAAAGAAAGAAAGAAAGAAAGAAAGAATAAACGGAGCAGATACAATAGGCCTTCGCAGCTTCACTGCTCGGGCCTAATAAACGGAGCAAAAACAAGAGGCCTTCGCAGCACTTTCGCTGCTCGGGCCTAATTAATAAAAGGCAAGGGTTTAAAAGCGCCTGGTCGTAAAAGTGGGCCTTAAGCAGTGACTTGAAACGGGGGTGGGGGGGCAGCCTCACTGAGGAAGAGCACTCCAGAGGGACAGATCTCAACGCCCGGTTTGGCACATAACAAGTCACAAGGTCAGGCAGGTAATCCAGTGCCAGACCATTCAGGGCCTTAAAAACAAATATCAGCGTTTTAAACTTCACTCTGAAGTTCACGGGTAGCCAATGGAGGCGCGCCAGTACAGGTGTGATATGGTCACGTCTAGAGGTGTTCGTCAGAAACCTGGCTGCCGCATTCTGTACCACCTGAAGCCTGTTGAGAGCGGAGGTTGGTACACCAAATTAAAAAGGAATTTGGGTAATCTAGTCGGGAGATGATAAAAGCATGAATTACGGACTCTAGGTGCGCCCGTGTCAGGATCGGTTTTAAGCCAATCAGTCGGTGCAAATGGAAGAAACAAGATCTGACCACTGCATTAATCTGAGGGCCCATGGAAAAGTGGGTATCCAGTTTCACCCCCAGGTTGGTAACACACTGCTTGAGGTCATATTGGAAAGTGTTCAAATCAGAAAGTGAGTCTATGATTTTCTTAGGAGCCATGAGGAGTGCCTCAGACTTGGAGTCATTCAGCCTCAGAAAATTGTCAGCAAGCCAGTCCCTCACTTCAGCCAAACATTGATCCAGAAGAGAAAGAGAACACCTGGTTTGTTCAAAGCCAGGTAGATCTGGCAATCATCTGCATAGAGATGGTAGCTTAGGCCATATTTCCTCAGGATAGAACCCAGGAAGAGGATGTGAATTGAGAACAGGAGAGGCCCGAATGCAGATCCCTGTGGCACTCCCCTGGGGAGTGGGAGGCATGGAGAAGAACAGTTACAAAACTGAACCTTGAAAACTCTGTTTGACAGATATGAGCTAAACCACTGAAGTGGGGTACCCCTAAGCCCCACTCAGGTCTTAAGTCTATCCAGCAGAATATCATGGTCAACTGTATCAAATGCTGCGGAATGATCTAGTAGAAGGAGCAGAACAGGAGACCCTGAGTCAGAGGCCACTAGGATGTCATTGGTCACGCGAAGCAGGGCTGATTCGGTACTATGAAGTGGCCTAAAGCCAGACTGGAACACATCAATTAAGGAAAAGCTATTCATGTGTGCTGTGATCTAGACAATCTTTTCAAAGACCTCAGACAGAAACGGTAATTTGGAGATTGGCCGGACATTTGTAAAGTTGAAGTGGTCTAAATCTGGTTGTTTTTTTTTAACTGGTTGCACAACTGCCTTTTTAAAAGAAGTAGTAACCACCCCGGTGGTCAGGCTAGAATGAAAATTGTCCCAAATGGCGGGGCCCAAAGTATGGTTGATATCACCCACCATCCTCGGGGGCAGAAGGTCCTCTGGAGAGTCCTCAGGTTCACAGACACAATAAAGACAACAGATAAAATCAAATATGAATCAATAAATTACATGCAAATGAAACAACAGTACGAGATCTGAGTAGAATAGTGACACTATCAGTCACCTCAGAGTTGAAAGCCAGATCATAGAATGGGTCTTCAGCTTCGATTTATAAACTGCTGCAGGAGAGGACTGCTGAATGTGTAATGGAAACTTGTTCCATTCATAAACATCCCACATTTCCTCTTCAGCCACGACCTGGGGCCAAAAGCAATGACAGATCTTCAGAACAGAACGCCTGGGAGGGAATACACAACTGCAACATGTCAGCCAGGTGTGCTGCAGCCAAACTGTTCAACACATCATTGAATGGTTTGAGACAGGTAGCCAATGTAGAGCTACCAATATAGGTGTAGCATGATCAAACGTTGACCTGCCATTCTAGAATCTCCCTGCAGCACTCTGAACAAGCTGCAGAGGAGCTAAGGCACACTGACTCTGAATTAAACAGAGTTTTGGTAGTCTACGCACAAAGTTATGAACGCATGCACAACGGTTTCAGGGGCGCATCTAAACAAGAATGGTTTAACCTCAGCCAAGCATCTTAAATGATAGAAGAATGATGTCACAACTCCATTTATGAGACCTCTAAAGCAAAAGTTATTGTCAAACTTAACCTCAAAATTAACCCTGTAAGACCGGCGGGAGTGCCGGCGCTCCCATTTGCGTATCTGTGTTCAAATGCTTGTAAAACTGAAACTATATAAGATAGAACAATTTTTTGGCATATTAAACCGGAGGAATTACACTTATATCTCATACACTGAACATGCCCCAGAGCGCTGCATATTTCTGCTAATGAGTTTGCAAAAACAACCAAGATGCGCGAATAAGAAGTGTTTTCATCCAGACACAGACGCCGTGTCGTTCTGATCTGCAGCTCACAGGGCTTCACACATTAGTATAAATGTCATCACGTTGTCAACATGAACTGTCACATGATAATCACTTACCCAATCACCTGCTTTGGCATAATTTCCCCGCAAATTGTAGTTCTTTGTAGTCCCAGTCTTTCGGCTTTTTCTTGTGCTTTTCCACAATAATACGTTTAGACAAACACATCCTACACACTCACACGCCCACTACAAACTCCCGACACACACACCCCACTACGAACGTTTTGATGACTCACAGACCCGCCAAACGGTGCATCCTCCCTTCTCGAAGCAGTTGACGCCATTACAGCACCGGGTGATGTTCAGGTTTCACTTTCTGTTCCCTCACGTATATTCACAACAAGATCACAACATGCCCTGTAGGTTATAAAATTGTAAGTCGCTTTGGATAAAAGCGTCTGCCAAATAAATAAACATAAACATAAACACTGATATTCATGCAATATTCTTTATTATTGCTATTATTACTAGAGAGAGAAAAGGAAAACTATATACTAGTGAAAAATTTGCTACAAATGTTCAACATTATATTTTTTTACTCCAGCTGATTATTATTAAATATGTTTTCATTTTTGTTATAAAGTTAAAGTCCCATTAGTTGTCACACACACTGATGTGTGTGCGAAATTTGTTCTCCGCATTTGACCCATCCCCTGGGGGAGCGGTGAGCTGCAGACACCGCCGCGCTCGGGAACCATTTGGTGGTTTAACCCCCCAATCCAAGCCCTTAATGCTGAGTGTCAAGCAGGGAGGCACTGGGTCCCATTTTTTCAAAGTCTTTGGTGTGACCCGACCAGGAATCGAACCCTGATCTCACGGTCTCGGGGTAGATACTCCACCACTAGGCCACTGTGCTGGTCTATGAAGTTTAAAAACGTTTGTGTATCTCAGAAACTATTTTATGGAGGCACTTCAAATAAATTTGTGGTTGTTTGAAAGGAATGAGTGAAACTTTTTTCCATTGACAATTTTGAGGGATAAAGGTGTGGCATTTCTGTATAATGAAAAATATGTGTAAAAACAAAAAACTATTTTCAGTTTCTGTATAGATAATTGCATTTTTTAGTAAAATATTTTGTTGCTATGAACATTTTACATTTATATATTTAAAATTTAGAATGTAAGGGTTTTATTGATGTAAAGAAAGTTGAAATACTCCAAAAAATTGCACCACAGCATGTAAAAATGTAAATATAAGTTCTGGCAAACTTGTTCTATGGCAGGTCTTAAAGGGTTAACAACCATAATGTGGGGGTTTACCTCCCCAAAATCAAACCAGGAGGACTCAGTGTGAGAATTGGGACCAAAGATCACTGCTTCCGTCTTAAATTCATTAATGCGCAGGAAGTTCTCAGCCATCTATGCTTTGACTTCACCCAAACAATCTAAAAGCGTGGTCGACCACCAAACTCATCCAACGGCAAATACAGCTGACAGTCATCAGCGTATCGGTGAAAAGCGATACAATAAGTCCATAGGATATCAAATCAAATCAACTTTATCTACATAGCACATTTGACAACAACCAAAGTTGATCAAAGTGCTTAACAGTGAACCGAAGCTACAGCAATCAAACATAAAATTTGTTAAAAAAATAAAGCAATAAAAGTAATAAAGTTTAATGGATAAAACGACTGTCAATTCAAATGAAAACATTAAAAACATTGCCAGATTTACAAAGCATCCATTATCACCCAATGTCTGAATATACATACAAAACAGCAGGGGTCCTAGTGCTGAATGCTGATGAACACCTCAGGGGAGATGGGAGAAATCAGAAGAGAAACCATCCACACACCATTCTGTTTGAGAGACAGGACCGAATCCAATTCAAAGCTCGGCCAGTAATTTCCACGCAATGCTCAGATGATGCAACAGCACCTCATGGTCCTTCTGAAATTTCTATGACTGTTTTTTTGTTAGATCGTCATCAAAGTACCAACTCTCTGAGTCCTGCCCCACGAGTTAAAAGACCATCCTGCACGTTTTAGATGTTTCTGTGCTCCGACACGCCTGAACTATGGGACTCGTGCAGGATGGAGGACACCAGCACTGGACATCATTAACCTAAAATAACTGTTGACAACATTTTGTTTAATTTTGGTTGCAACTGTTCTTAAAGGTCCAAGCCAATCAAATGAGACTCATTCATTTGCGTATTTTATTTTCCTCATCATGAGCAAGTCTGCTAAAAGGCTGTGTTTTGGGTTTTTAGAGCATCCTGAGCGTCAGACCTGAGGGGGATGTCATGGTGAACAACCTAAGGAGACGAGGGCTGACTCTGTATGAGCATCAGGATGCTGATGAAGCGAGAAAAGTCCAGGTTCAGCAGACAGTCAAAGACCTGGAGGAGCAGTGGAGGACGGTCTTGCAGACTGCCAAACAAGTCGAAGCATCAGCAGTGGCTGAGATCACCCAGGAAACGGAGAGAAGAGAGTTGGAGGTGAGGATGGAGGATGGAACAAACAGTGCTCATTCACTTCACAAGGAACGGCTGGAGGAGCTCTTATCTACAGATCTGCTAGGGTTAGAGTTTTCTCTTTCGTGTCACCAGTACTTCTTTAAAGTCGTGGATGGTTGGATTGTTCAGCTGCTGAAAAATCCAATAAACAGGCTGCTGTCCTGGTATCCAGTGGTGTCCAATGATGAGCCCTGAGAACCATTGTCTTGTATTTGTTTTTGACTAGTGGTCCCAAACTCTTCAGCTTCAGACCCACAACATAGGCATTGTTAAGACATCTCCAGATACGTCTGACTGAGCAATGCGTTCCTGCTAAAAGCTAAAAGATTCAGTGCAGAAAGAAAGCTGCTTCTGCTCATCTTCACTTAAATCAGTCAACAATGATGCTAAAAATAGCTTCTGCAATGGTTTTTCTATTTCATTTTCATTTCTGGGCATTCTCTCAAGGCCCCCTGTGTAAATCTTTGGGAAGCACTGTTTTAGATGTTTTACTGCTTCAGCAAACTTGGCTTGACTCGATGGTGGACTGGCAGGCTTCTGCAGAGCTAGAGGACAGGAGGTTACTTCACTATGAAAACCGGTGGGATGGAACAGGGCTGCAACTAGGACGTGGGGGATGGTGGACCTTGGAGTTCAGAACTACAAAACACTAGATTGTCTATGTTTTCTTTAATAAATATCAAGTTAAAACTTAATCCGAATCAAAAATAAGATTTGAAACATCATTTGGACCCATTGCTTTAACTGGATGCTGGTTATGTATGGGTTGCATCGCCTAGCGTGAATGAGCTGATGGAAACTCTAAAAGTCATTTTCAGTCATTTATGTGTAATTGGGTCATTTACTGGTTTTCTTATTATTAATTAAATCCTGTTTGTTTAAGGTTTTGTGTAAAATCATCGTGGCTTGAAAACAACCAACAAACTGCTGTTCTTCTTGATTCAACATCAGTGAGTCACCACATTTTTACCATTTTGTCTTTGTAGCTCAGAGAATTCAGTGACCATCAACAAGACACGGATCACTGGCTTGAAGACCTCCGGCAGGAGCTGGTCTGTTTGGACCATCAGACCGAAGCTGAAGACCACCTTCATGCAGCACAGGTGAGGTCAGAGTCTTGACTAAAAGTGGTCTATGGGTTATTTGGCATCAGTAAAGCAGCTCTTTCTAGACTTCAGCTGGTCCAGAATTCAGCAGCTAGGTTGCTGACTGGAGCTGACAGAAGACAACACATTTCTCCAATTCTGAAATCTCTCCACTGGTTGCCCGTGCAGTTCAGGATAAATTTCAAAATTATGCTTCTCACTTACAAATCCTTGAACCATCACGCTCCTCCATATCTGTGTGAACTTGTCCATTACTACAACCCGCCGCGTGCTCTCAGGTCTGAAGATAAGCTCCTCCTAGCTGTTCTGAATGCTCGTTTAAAAAGCCGTGGAGAGAGGGCTTTCTCTGTCTGTGCACCGAAGCTGTGGAACGCATTACCACTGCTAGTGAGGCTAGCACCAACAGCTAGCATTTTTAAATCACGCCTGAAAACTCACTACTTCAACCTAGCTTATACAACATAATTATGACCATCACTTACATCTGCATTGTTTAAAAATGGACTTCACAATATCAACTTCCGTACTATTGAGGTTCTTTTTTACAATGTTTTTTCTAATTTTTATTCTCCCTGTGTCTTATTGATTTTTAGATGTTAGTTTTGGGAATTTTGTTGTATTTCCTTTTTATCTTTTATCTGTGTTCGACATGTTTGTACACCGCCTGTTTAATTAACTAACATTTTTAGTGTACAGCGCCTTGTTTGGTTGTAATGCCTTGTGAATGCGCTTTATAAATAAAATTGGATTGGATTGGATTTCTGTCACTAAATGGCTAAACATATTTGAGGTGTAGTAAATATTTCCATGAGTTCACAATGAGATGTTACAATGCCAAAAAAATGAATTTTGCTCAGTCATGAAAACAGTTTTAGATGTTCTGATGTTGTTTTCAGGCCATCATGAACTCAAAGTCTGAAGGAGACTCTAAGATCCAAAAACTGAAGAGACAGAGTCAGGCTCTGTGTGCTCAGGATCTTGACGAACACAAAAAACAACAGATCCGAGAAAAAGTACAAGACTCTGAGGAGCGATGGACAAGTGTCCTTCAAAGTGCTAAACGAGCTGTGAGTGAAGCAGAGAGAATGTTTGCTCTGGATGTTCAGCTGAAGGACTTCAACGCTTTGAGAGAAAAAAACATCGACTGGTTGGAGGAGAAACATCAGTGTCTCGTTTCTCTGGACACGCAGAGAAATCCCGAAGAGGCAATGAAAGCTGCTCAGGTCAGTCTGAAAAATAAAACATCAGCAATAACAGATAGGTCTCTTTGTTGTTTCCTTAACTAGCCTACATGTCACAAAACTGAACCACCTTTTCATAGTCTGATATTAAAGTTTAGCAACCAGTGTGCTCAAGTTATGTTCTTTTATTCTGAAATCAAAACTACATTTCTTAAAGATTTCACGTTCTTACATCATCAGAGCATCCTGAGCTGCAAACCTGAGGGTGATGCTAAGTTGTCTGAACTGAGAAGACAAAGCCAGTGTTTGTCGGATCTGGAAGACTTGAAGCAACACGAGAGGCTCGAGGCCCAACAAAAAGTGCTGGACTCAGCGGAGCTGTGGAGGATGGTCCTGCAAACTGCTGAAGACACTTTGGAGAAAGCTGAGGTCCAGTACAAACTCTCCAGGGAGCTGGAGGCGTTTCGTATCCATGCAGAAAGCACAAAGACCTGGCTGGAAAAGCGTCAGAAACAAGCTGAATCCATGGAGGGGAGTACTCAAGGCAACAAGACTCAGATAGAGGAGCGGCTGCATGCAGCACAGGTAAACGTACAGTCCTGCTTCATAAATACAACCATTTAAAATAGCTGTTAGTGAGAATAACTTCTTCTAAAATAATTAAAAACACTAGTCAATTGACTTTTACCGTGGGTAATCTTTTTAGCCCTTTTGTGTCACCAGAACTGAAATCAAAACATTTATGAATCTTTCACACTTTCCTGTTTGAGCGTTTAGGACAAACCTTTAACTGACAGCACATACTTTGTGTTTAGGCCATCCTAAGCTGCAAGTCAAATGGTGACACTCAAGTGATGGATCTGAAAAGTCGAGCAGATGGTCTCTGCAGCCACATAGGTTTGGAAAAGGAGAAGAAAATGGACATCCAGCAGACAATCAACGACACAGAGACAGGGTGGAGGACAGTTGTTCGAGCTGCGGAGGAAACACAAAGGTAAAGGAAAACCTTTGAACCTGAAACTGTTTTTATCCCATTGTGCTTTTAAAACCTGTTTGCAGAAGCAAAATTCTGCTTAGTTCTGAGTTGGGTCATGGGGACCTGCCATTGTCTAACTCTAGCAGTCACCAGTGGTTTGGTGGGGGACACCCGGGCCTGGAAATCTCTCAGATGCATAACAGGGACACACAGAGACAAATGAGATGGACAGACATTCACACATACACACCTAGGGACAAGTTAGAGTCTCTAGTTAACCTAAAAAGCATGTTTTTGATCTGTGGGAGTACAGCAAAGTACCCTGAGATAATCCACACATGCATGTGGAGAACATGCTAACTCCACACATGCGTGTGAAGAACATGCTAACTCCACACATGCATGTGGAGAACATGCTAACTCTAAACATGCATGTGAATAACATGCTAACTCTACACATGCATGTGGAGAACAGGCTAACTCCACACATGCATGTGGAGAACATGCTAACTCCACACATGCACAGGAAAACACGCTAACTCCACACATGCATGAGAACAACATGCTAACTCCACATATTCATGTGGAGAGCATGCTAACTCCACACGTGCATGTGGAGTACATAATAACGCCACACATGCATGAGGACAACATGCTAACTTCACACATTCATGAGGGCAACATGCTAACTTCACACATGCATGTGTGGAGAGCATGCTAACTCCACACATCCATGTGGAGAACATGCAAACTCCACACATGCATGTGGAGACCATAATAACTCCACACATGCATGTGGAGAACGTGCTAACTCCACATATGCATGGGGAAAACACGCCAACTCCACACATGCATGAGGATAACAAACTAACTTCACATATTCATGTGGAGAACATGCTAACTCCACACATGCATGTGGAGAACATGCTACCTCCACACATGCATGGGGAAAACACGCAAACTCCACACATGCATGAGGATAACATGCTAACTTCACATATTCATGTGGAGAACATGCTAACTCCACACATGCATGTGGAGTACATAATAACGCCACACATGCATGAGGACAACATGCTATTCACACATTCATGAGGGCAACATGCTAACTTCACACATGCATGTGTGGAGAGCATACTAACTCCACACGTCCATGTGGAGAACATGCTAAATCCACACATGCATGTGGAGAACATAATAACTCCACACATCCATGTGGAGAACATGCTAACTCCACACATGCATGTGGAGAACATAATAACTCCACACATGCATGTGGAGAACATGCTAACTCCACACAAGCATGTGAAGAACATGCTAACTCCACACATGCATGTGGAAAACATGCTACCTCCACACATGCATGGGGAAAACACGCCAACTCCACACATGCATGAGAATAACATGCTAACTTCACACATTCACGTGGAGAACATGCTAACTCCACACATGCATGTGGAGTACATAATAACGCCACACATGCATGAGGACAACATGCTAACTTCACACATTCATGAGGACAACATGCTAACTTCACACATGCATGTGTGGAGAACATGCTAACTCCACACATGCATGTGGAGAACATGCTAACTCCACACAAGCATGTGAAGAACATGCTAACTCCACACATTTGTGGAGAACATGCTAACTCCACACATGCATGGGGAAAACACGCCAACTCCACACATGCATGAGGATAACATGCTAACTTCACACATTCATGTGGAGAACATGCTAACTTCACAAATGCATGTGGAGAACATAATAACTCCACACATGCATGAGGACAACATGCTAACTTCACACATTCATGAGGACAACATGCTAACTTCACACATGCATGTGGAGAACATTCCAACTCCACACATGCATGTGGAGAACATGTTAACTCCACACAAGCATGTGGAGAACATGATAACTCCACACATGCATGTGAAGAACATGCTAACTCCACACATGCATGTGGAGAACATGCTAACTCCACACATGCATGTGAAGAACATGCTAACTCCACACATGCATGTGGAGAACATGTTAACTCCACACAAGCATGTGGAGAACATGACAACTCCACACATGCAGGAGGACATCATGCCAACTTCACACATTCATGAGGACAACATGCTAACTTCACACAGGCATGTGGAGAACATGCTAACTTCACACATGCATGTGGAGAACATAATAACTCAACACATGCAGGAGGACATCATGCCAACTTCACACATTCATGAGGACAACATGCTAACTTCACACAGGCATGTGGAGAACATGCTAACTCCACACATGCATCTGAAGAACATGCTAACTCCGCACATTCTTGTGGAGAACATGCTAACTCCACACATGCATGTGGAGAACATGCTAACTCCACACAAGCATGTGAAGAACATGCCAACTCCACACAAGCATGTGAAGAACATGCTAACTTCACACATTCATGAGGACAACATGCTAACTTCACACAGGCATGTGGAGAACATGCTAACTCCACACATGCATCTGAAGAACATGCTAACTCCGCACATTCTTGTGGAGAACATGCTAACTCCACACATGCATGTGGAGAACATGCTAACTCCACACAAGCATGTGAAGAACATGCCAACTCCACACAAGCATGTGAAGAACATGCTAACTTCACACATTCATGAGGACAACATGCTAACTTCACACAGGCATGTGGAGAACATGCTAAAATGGCCTGTATTTGATATAGCGCCTTCTAGAGTCCTGGAACCCCCCAAGGAGCTTTACAACACAATCAGTCATTCACCCATTCACACACACATTCACACACTGGTGGTGATGAGCTACGATGTAGCCACAGCTGCCCTGGGGCGCACTGACAGAGGCGACGCTGCCGAGCACTGGCGCCACCGGTCCCTCCGACCACCACCAGCAGGCAACGTGGGTTAAGTGTCTTGCCCAAGGACACAACGACTGTGACAGACTGAGCGGGACTCGAACCTGCAACCTTCCGATTACGGGGCGAGCACTTAACTCCTGTGCCACCGTCGTATGCAGTTGGACATGCTAACTCCACACATGCATCTGAAGAACATGCTAACTCCACACATTCATGTAGAGAACATGATAACTCCACCAGATTTCTTCCACGAAGACGATGGGTTCCACCTATCCTTCCAGAGTTTAATAATGCGTTGGACTGTTCTTAACCCAGTTTCAGTTGTTTCTGCATCTCCTTAGGTGCTTTCTCTGCTTGATGCCAATGAGCTGACCCTTCTCAAACAGAACAACATCATTTCCATGACCACCAGATGTGTCTTTCCACAGGGTTGTTTAAGACTTGAGAAGCAACTCATTGCACCAGTTGGAGCTAATTAACTTGTTGCAGCTGAAAGATAATCACCCATGCAGTAATTATCCAATAGGATTGGTTAGATCAGAGCGGCAAGTTTTCTTTCAGCCGGGCAGTGCATTTATAATCTCTGGTATTGTCCTATCACCCACCAGACAACTGCAGGTTGTTCTGGAGCACCTGGTTTCCTATGAATATAGGAAGGGCCAAGCTGAGGAGCAGCTGGCTGAGCTCCAAAAACAGACATCCAGCCTTCCCCGTGTGTTCCCCTGGCCGGGCCTGGGAGAGCGAAGGCAGGCTGTGGAACTGGCTCGGACCCTCTTGGACCAGAGTACGGCTTTGGCCCCTCTACTGTCCTCTCTGAGAACAGAGGTAAAGTGCTGATGATCAGTGTATGAAGCAGCAGGTTTCTGCTTCTCGGGCTTGGGTGACGTACGAACACCTAAACAGTGAGCTGCTAACACTTGGCTGATCTGGGTTGTGTTTCATCTTTAGACAGGAGAGCTGTTTGAAATCACACAGGACCACAGCTGGAAAGATTTCTCCTGGGAAGCCAAGGAAAAAGTCATCCCTGCTTTGTTGGCAGAGCTTACTGTGAGTTTAGCTCAGTAATAAAACAATACTCTACCATTAGTTCAAAGGCATATTTATATTTCCCTTCTGGGATAAATAACCTCAGTTTCTTCTGTTTCCAGGATGTGGTGTTGAACCTGGAGGAAGGCATCCTGACGGAGCGGCAGTGCACTCTGCTGATGGAGCAGCATGAGGCAGCTCAGGACTGGCTGAGGGAGCAGGTTAAAGGTCTAGGACCCCCGCCAATGGACAGACACGGCCTTCACAATTCTGCCAACACCCTGAAGGTAGAATAAGATTCAGATACTCAACGTAAATTAACAAAATACCCATAAGAATCATATTTATGAAGCAAACGAGTGAAACACACTGAGAGTTTCTTTCTGGCTGTCCAACCTCGCTACAGCCTGCAGACTCATCGGTGTCCTGGTGAGACTGATGCCAATGATGTCATGTGAAGTGTTACCTTATTCTGATAATCTGCTCAGAGAACATAGATAGGTCTGTGTGTGGCCTCTGTGTGGGGGCCAGGCGCTGAAATACTTCAGCAAAGATCCAAACTCCAAGAATGAGCTAAATTAATGACAGAAGTGAAGGTGCCTTTCAGGAGGCTGTGGTGAGAATCTGGACGTGGGTTGGAGTCCAGAAAACATATTTACTCCATTAAAGATTGTGCTTCTCAAATGAATGTAAACTCCATTCAAACATCTGGGGCCCCTTTGATTCTAGGCTTTGCTGCAGACCGTTGACAGAGAGCAGAGAGAGATGAGGGAGCTGGACTCTGCTAAAGACAGTTTGATGAGCATCTGCACCCCTGGAGGTCAAGCTGCTCTGACCCTGGAGGTCAGCCACCTCCATGACCTCTGTGCCAACTCAGAGCAGGAAGTGAGGGAGCGCCTGGCTTCCTGTGAGCTGCAGTTAGAGAAGATGGACCAGCATCTGGCCAAGCTGGCCCAAACCCTGAAGGAGAAATCAGCAGCCCTGCAGTGGGAGCTCCGCTCTCTGGACCAGGCGCTGAGTTATAGCGAACCACGGAACAACATCACGCAGCTCCAGCAGCACTGGCACAGCCTCCAGGTAGTACTCACTGCTGCTGTAGCATTACTGAAAAACACCAACAGATCCTTTGGAAACACCCGTTACCTGTTGTTTCCTTTTCTGTTAGAACTGTGAGAAGTCACTGGAGGATTTGGGTGTGAAAGTTCATAATCTGCACCAGGAAGTCGAATCGGCTTCTTCCTCCAATGAGCTTCCAGCAGAAATCACCAGTATGGTTGACTCTTTGTGCCAGCAACATGACAGGTATGCAGTTGGACACGAGCAAGCCTCCTCTCCAGTTAAACCAGCATGTTTATGACCTGATATGATGGTTTGGTTGGACTCACGGTGGAGACAGAAATGCATCTGCACAGCTCTCACACGCACCTCACCTTTCCATTCACCATTACTTAGGTCTCTAAACCTACTGGAGTGCATTAGTCGTGGACTTTCAGCTGTTTTTCTTGTTTTTCAGTTAACGTTTCAGTTATTTAACATTCCAGCAGCACGTCTCAGTGGGTCGGGTAGTTATTCTGTGAGGTTTGTTAAACAATTGTTGCTGAAGAATGAAAATAAAACTGCTCTTATTTACATTTCTCTAGGAAATAGATTGTCTTAATGGAGAAACTGAAAACATTTGTATTTACCAAATGAATATTATGGTATGTATGTTTCCAGTCTAAAGTCCAGACTTGGCGAGCATCAGGAAACGTGCTTTACCAATGCAGCAGCTTGTCTGAAGGACTGCCTTCATGCCCTGCAGCAGTGGAACCACAGCCAACTGTCAGACTCGGCTTCTTCTCTGCAGGTTTCTTTATTATGTTAACATTTACCAAAAGAATTGTTTAACTAACTCAACGGCAGACTGGGACTCAGCTGTCCTCGAACAGATCCGCTATTAGGACAGGATGTGTCCAAGCAACCACTGGCAGGCTTGTTCTGATACTCTCCGTAATTATTAGTTTTGTACCACATTTATAAAAAGGTATAAAAAGATTCTTGGTTGAAAACTCAGCTGGAACCTTTCTGTGATCTGGATGTGTACACGTGGATTTACTCTTGGTTAATACGAAACCTGAACTAAATGTGACTTGTCTGACTAGAACCTACATTCATGTCCATCTCCAGCATTTCCCATGCGAGAGTCGTTGGGAACCCCAGACCAGCGCCAGTCTGGTTGATGATAGCAACACTTGGTAGTGATAGCGTCTCTCTGACCATCCAACAGGAGGACAGAAAACCCCTAAGGGGTTGGCTGTGAGCCAGCTAGGAGGCCCAGGGAGGGGAATCTGAGAGCTGATTGGTTTAACAAACAGTTTTTCTGTTTTACAGAATAACCAACAAAGGCCTTGGGCAGATTAGACGCCCCCTGGCAACACAGAGAGGCTCAGTCTGACTGGACCAAAAACAAAAAGTCCACAGGCATGTAGAGGGTGCGGCACGGCCAAGAAAAATGCTCCTAAAAGAAAAAACTATGAAAGGATTACATTTCCATTTAACAAACCTAATTTAGGTAGATATAGGTTATTGATTCTGATTGTGTTTAAGGCCAGCTGAGAAAGCCTTGCTTGCCTTGACCACACACCACTGCCATAGACAGGTCACCAGCTCCTCCCAGGGTCATAAAGAGACGTGCATGTTTCTGACCTGGAGTCCCCAGAGAAACGTGACTATGAAGACAACTTCACAGTCCATGGAGAAAGGCTGCGGCTGCAATGCATTTATTTTTAAAAACGTTTACACTGCCGCTACTTTTCATGGATAGAACAAACCTCTGCTGGGTACTTGACATCTGGATTTACCAGAAGTGCAGTTTTAAGCTGCTGCAGGTGGTGTACATACCACATTGACCCAAATATAAGACGAGGTTGTCTTTTCATTGAAAATCATTTTAAAATGCGGGGTTGTCTTATAATCGAGGTCTAAGCATTTACACATGGTGATATTTGTCTGGGGTCATTACACGCCCGTAACAGCAGAGGGCACTAGGCTGTACGTTCTCAACAGGAAAAAGATGGAGACGGGAGGTCCGGAGCAGAGTGGACTGAACGTGGAACAAGTTAACATACTAAGGCAGTCAAACATTGCATGGATGCATTGGGTGGCAGTGAGGATGACGTTCTGGGAGGAGCCGGCAGGACAGGTGTAACGATCGGATGGTGCACTGGGACCGCAGCAGCATGAGAGAGTAGAGCGACGCAAAGGGCGTCTGAGTAAAAGCCTCGTTAGACTTTTGATTTCACACGTCAGCAAAGTTCTGATTGTTTGCATCAAAATAGTATTTTTGCTCAGTTTTTGTTCTCAAAATTTCAATAAAAATTGTAAATAAAAAAAGTGATTTTTTTTTTTTGTCTTTTCCTGAAGATTAGTCTTGGAAAGGGGATCGTCTGATAATCTGGGTTGCCCTATATTCGGGTGAATGTGGTACTTATAAACAAATACTTCATGCAAAATAAACCACAACGGGTTAAACTGATGTTGCATGAATCACCGTGAAGTTTTAGACGACAGCTTGTTTGAGGACAGTAGAAGTCCATCTTTCATCTTGGCTGGTTTGGGCTAATCTCCCTATCAGCCCTGGTGCACACAAACATAAAGCCATAGACCTACTTCAAAACTTAAGCTTCTTATTAAGCTGTCAGATTATGTTGCTCGGGCACATTTGTGATTGCTAAAGTCACCTCCATGTATTTCATCTGCTTCAAGGTGTCCTTGGAGGAGGGTGAAGCGTTGCAACATAGCCTGCAGGAGGCTTTTTCCCACCAACAGTTTCTATCAGCCTGTCTGACATCACAAGTGTTTGAACAGCTGCAGAAGTCCTGTTTGGAGACACTCAGGCAGGCTGACACACACAGGTCTTCTCTAAGCCACAATTTAAAGGTATTCAGATTTATTTGATGTTCGTTGTTTTGGAGTGTTTTCCAGAGTTCAGTTTTGTAATAAATGATGTTTTCTGACTTTTTCTTCAAGGAAACTGAGCAAATGAATAAACAGCTAGGTGGCATTCAGTCCCATGATGAAAATCTGGAGGAGATACAGACCACAGTTGTGGCACCGCCACGAAAAAACAAACGTGAAAAGGGCGAAGTCAAACCAAATATTTCTCTAAGTGGCACACCTGCATCTGCTCGTGGATCATCAGTTACAGTCGAGGCTCAGGCTCCAAACATACCAGTAGTGAAAACAGTGATGGAAGTCTCAACAAGTACTTCGGCTGTTGGTTTTGAAGAAACGTCTTCGCCATCCAGGGAGACATCAGAGGCTTTAGACGCTAATAAAACACCTGAGGAGATTAAGATGGAGTCTGGAATGGTGAAAATGGCTCAAAGTAGTGAACTCAGCATCAGAGAAAATGAGAGCCCATTAGTTCCTGAAGAAGAGAAGACCCCAGCCAAGTCCACTGGTTATGAAACAAAGAGTCCGGTGTCTTTAGTCACTGCTGAGAAAGAAGGTGCAGGCACCACAGGTGAACCAACGATAATACCAGATGAAACTCAGACAGATGTTTTGGGACAAAGTAAGGTTTCGCCTCCCCGACGAAAGTCAAAGAGTCCAAAACATTCTCCTATAAGCTTTAAACAACCTTCAGAGGTGAAGCAAGAACCTGGCAGTCAAACGGCTGTCTCAGGTTCTAATGAAGGTTCTCATGTGGAAGAAACAAAAGTCAAACCAGTCAGAAGGAAGTCGATGAATGATGGACCTCCCATAACCTCTCCACACATTGCTTCTGGTGATAAAAGCTCTAATGAAGAACTTGAGGATAAGAATATCATGGAGAGCTTGACATCTACAGGTCTGTCAATAACAGCAGAACCAGTTGAAACTTCTAGCATGAAAGAAATCAAACCTACTCCAACCAAAAGAAAACATAAATGTCAAAAACTGTTCACAGAACCTTCTACAGAGGAGGTGCCAGAGAACAAGCCTTTAGTACGTTCTGAAGCACAAACTAAAGTGGCTGTAGAGGTTGTACCAACCAGGAGGAAGTCAAAGAGTCTTGAGGTTTCCTCAGCTCCAGCTCCAACTTCTTCTACAAGCACATTTTCTGAGGAGGACCTTACAAACAGCAAACAAGGTCCAGAGAAAGAGTCCTCGTCCCTGAAGAAAGTCACCGGACCAGATGAAACTACAGTTTTACCACCAAGGAGGAAGTCAAGGAACACAGATGATCACCCCGGCCCTGAAGGTCAGAAAACCCACCTTAGATCGTCTGAGGAGGAACTTGAACAAAGCAAGGAAGAACTAATTGATCAAAAGTCTTCTAGTTCAGAAAAATTCTCAAAACCAGCTGAAAGTACTGTTATGGAAAAATGTCAAATTTCACCAACCAAAAGAAAATCAAAAACCGAGAAAACTTTGCAAGACATAGTTTCCAAAGCTGAGACGGGTGAAACAAAAGAACCTGGTGATCCGTTAGAGGGAACAGAGACTGCTGAAACAAAGATCATCCCAGCCAGGAGGAAATCCAAAAGAAGAGCTGCGTCCACCGCTCTGGACTCCACTAATGACCCTGAGTCTAAAGAAACAACAGAACAAACCAGTGAAAGAGTCTCTTCTCCTGAACATTCACTTACTGTAACTACTGTTCACCAAGAAAATAAGCTCTGGACAACCTCAATAGTGTCAGAAGGACCTGCAGCCTCCCAAGAACTTCCTTTCCACGGAGAAACACAAACCACAGAGAAGCCCGAGAGTCAGATAATCGAAGCTGCTGCTGGATTAGAAACAGAGCTGACAGACGTGGACGGTCTGAAGCCTCCAGCCGCTCTACAGACGCTCACTGCTGCAACTGAAGCGCCCGCTGTGCAGATGGGACAGTTGTCACCAGGCAACAAGTCAAAAGGTTCTGAACGGCTAGGATGTGCAGATAGCACATCGATGTTTGAGAACAAGGAAGAATCTCCATTTGGGGATTTACGGGATGCACCAAGAGTCTCTGCTTCAGAAATACTGGAACTAACACCAACCAGCAAGGAGTCTGAGGAAACAGGAGTAGAACCCCAACATGGAGAGTCAGTGGTACACCTACAGGTGACTGAAGGACAAACCAGGCCAGCTGAAGCTGAATTAGATGAGCGTTCTCCTACTAATGTAGTGTCAGAAAGTCCAAAACCTTCCATAGAAATTAAAGACAAGTCTCTGACTCCAATTAATGAAGAACAAGATGTGGAAAGCTCGTTCCTGGCCTCCAGAGAGTGCATAGATGTTGTTGATGTGGATGTGCCAATGCATGGTCCAACTAGAGCAGGGCTGAGCTATACAGAGCCTTCCTCAGAAGAAGAAACAGACGCAATGTATACTGGTATGGGCGCCTTACCTCCTTCTGGAGACAAAACTGAATCTGAATCATGGATCATTCAGAGTAGAGAGCCAGCTGTAAAACGACACGTGGTCGAAGGACAAACCGAGAAGGACCAGCTCTCCCTGGAACCTGAAGACACGAACAAAGAAGACAGGGAGAGCTTCTCTCTAGCTTCAACAGAGAAGACTGATGCTAGTTTAGACCTACAGCTCATTCAAACTGAGGACACTGTTGAGACTCCTGCCACTGCTTCTACCACTAAAGAGGAAAGTGACTGGGTGAAAACCACTACTGTTGTAGAGGGGGTGACTGGAAGCGCTGAAAGGCCTGTCCTAGAGAGCCAAACAACTGTGGAGGACATTACGTCCGTGGAGAAATCCGACATTCATTTGGTTGAAGATCAGGATCTACAAGGAAGGAAAGTGGCCACCGTCATTCTTGAGACAAGTGGAGTGTTTGTACACACTAAAGAGGCTCATCCCTGTGAGGTGGAACGTTACACATCAGCATCTCAGACTGAAGAACTTGATTCAGAAATTCAACCCAGTTCAAAGGAACCCACTAAAAGCAGAGGGACATCAGGAAGTCCAGAGATGTCTTTGGAACAACGGGAGGAAAACTTGATCTCATCAAATACTAAACATGACAGAGAGAGCTTGTTTAGGACTTCCACAGAGCTAACTGGTGTTGGTGACTTGGTTGTGGCAAATCTTATACAAACTAGTGAAGATGCTGGGGCTCCAGAGCAGATCACTGCAATGACTGAGAGCCCGGATCTGGAGAAAGGACTCATTTTAACGGGCAAAGGAAAACCAAAGCATCCGAAACTTTTCACAGGTACAGTCACGTTGCCGTTGTTTGAAAGCAAAGAATCCGAATCGAACAATTCAAGAGCACAAGCAGGAGGTCCTGCCTTTGACACAACAGCCAACAAGGAATCAGAGCAAGCTGCAACAAAAGTAGAGAAGGCTGAAGGCAGCGAGCTGGCTATAAAAACACATGCAGTTGTTGATTCACACGACTTTTCTCCTAGCATGGCATTCTCAGGACTCTCCATGGAACTGGAGGAGAAGAATAAAAGCGATAAGGAGAGCTCTTCTCTTGCTTCTGCAGAGCCAGCTGATGTTAATCTGAAGCTAAAACACTGCATTCAAACTCATGCTGAGCCTTCTGCTACTTCAGAGATGGCTTCTACCTCTGGGAGGCTCACTGGAGGAGAGAACAAGTATCTCAGAGAAGAGGGTGATAGTGTTAAATCTGTGACTCTTACACAAGAGCTCACTGGAAACACTGAGAAAGGGCTTGATGACGGCACTGCTGTGGAAGAGAACGCTGAAATTCGTTTGGATGAAGATCAGGATCTACGGGAAAAGAAAGTGGCCACAGTCATTCTTGAGACGAGTCAAGTATTTGTACATGCTCGTCCTAGTGAACTGGTAGGTTACACATCCGCTTCTCATACTGAAGAACTCCAACTCAGTTCAAAAACATCCAATACAGCTAAAGGAACATCAGAAAGTCCAAAGCTTTCTCAGAAAACTCGTGATGACTATTTGATTCTAACCTTTAAAGAAGACGGTGGGGAGAGCTCATTAGAACCAACTCGCATTGCTGAGCTCAACACCAACCCAATCCAACCTGAAGAAGAGTGGACCTCTGTTGAGATGATCGCTGTTACAGTAAAAGCTCCTCTTGGGGAGGAAGAACAACTTCCACCAAGCCAGAGAAAGTCACCAGGCCCCAAACGTCCCGCGGAAACGATCACAAACCGGGAAGAATCGGCATCGATTTCAGGAAAACAAACTAGGTTTCCTGCTGCTGACGTACTGGAACTGACCTCAGCCAGCAACGAATCCGAGGGAGCCGAAACCCAGACTCAAAGTGGAGAGCCAGGATTACAAGTACAGGTGGTTGAACAACTCAGAGAGACTGTTTCAGAGGAATCAAACGACTTTTCACCAACTAAAGACGTGTCGGAAAGTCGGCGTGTTTCCCTAGAGCAGGTTAAGGAGAAAGCTGTTCCAACAAATGAAGGCAGAATGGAGAACTTGTCTCTGGGTTTGGAAGTAGAAGAACACATCCAGCCTGAGAAAGACTTAAAAGACATTGAGCTTTCTGCTGCAACAGAGACGCTCACTGCCACACCTGAACTCCCTGTTGTCCAGGTAGTTCGTGAGCAGACACCTCCAGCTTCCACAAAGCAAGCAGATGTTGGTTTGGAGCTAAAGTTTGTGTATGCTGGTGCAACTATTACAGAGTCTTCTGCAGCTACTGAGACGATCTCCTCAACTAAGGCAGAAGAGCTGACTGTAACAGCCGTTGTAGAGACTCAAACAGCCTCAGTGGAAGAGAAATCTGCCCTTCAAGTGGGTGAAGACCAGGATCCATGGGGACAGAACGTTACTCCTGAGACAAGCAATGTGTGTGTTCATCCTTATGAGGTGGTCATCTCCACAACAGCTTCCATTACTGAAAAACTCCCGTCAGACGTTCAACCCAGTTCAGTAACCCCATCTAACACCTCAGAGCCTCAGCGAGCTGAACCCAGTCTGACAAAGGTCTCGTCCTCAGACAGAGATCTTCAGAAGCACCCTCCTCTTGCTTCTGACTCTACAGATCCACCAAACATAGCAGAATACATTAGAAACCTGTGGAAAAGCACTGATGAGACCCAGAAGAGATATCTAACTCTCAATGCTCCTGAAATAGAGTTAGTTCAGATCCAAGAGCTAAATCTAGATCCATCAGACAAAAACACTGTGGCCACAACCGATTCTCCAACTCCTGTTTCTGTTTTTACAGAGCACACGTCTCACAAGAGGACACCACTGACAGAAATAAATGTCTCTGAGAATGAAAAAATGCAACTAAGTAAATATGTGAGTGAGCACAAGATTACTGAACCACAAACACCCAAAGAAAGCCCCAAGGAGCTCCAGTGCTTTGATGTGGTTAGAGATCAAACTGAGGAGTCACGACGTGATGACCAGTGTGTCCAAGTGTGCCAGAGAGAGGGCCTCACTGAAAAAGGACCTGCAGAATGCACACTGCAGCTTGATATATCTACCAGAGCTGAGGACATCACAAACCCATCCGGCACAAGGAAGGAGCCGAGGACACAAACTGAAACTGTTATCCAGATTGAGAGTGTGCATGAAGGAAGAGCTGCTTTTCAAAACAACGTGACACGAATGGATTCTTCTCAGCTCCATCTCCCCGATTCCCGAGCACCACCCCAACACAGCACAGAGATCATAGCAATCAGCGTGTTTGACCAAGATGTAAGAAAACCAAGTAAGACCGAGACTCGGATGGAGTCAAACACCATCAGTGACCCAGGTGGGCGAGCAGAACGTCCTGTTCTGGTGACACGTGTTATTAGTGATGCACCGGCGGGCCTCAGTGAAGAATCTGTTGCATCAGAGAAACTCGAAACAGCATCTCAAGACATGCAACTTCTACAATTAGACATCCAGATGAGTGCAAAACATCACAGGACAGCCTCTGTTCCAGATGAAGCCAAGACGAGCGAAGATGTGGTTCAAACCAGTGTCCAGACTGAGAAAGAGGCAGAAGATGTGTTGGGCAATGCCTCAGAGAGCGCTGCAACAGAGATGAATGAGACTGAGTTTCAAGACAACGAGACTCTGCTCACCTCTCTCGTTTATGAGACCATTCAACCACACGAGAGTAGATTCATAGAAATAAGATTGAATGAGCAACATACAGAAAGTCCAAGTGACCCTGAAAGTCAAAGCGTGCTCTCAAAGACCACACAGGAACCCAGAAGCAGCCAACGAGTGGAACATGTTGTCCAAGAAGAACATCCTCAAATGTGCAAAAGGAGTGTTGATGAGCTTTCTTCTATGAAAGAGAAGTCTGTTACCGCGGAACAAACCCGGACGAAGCCAGCAGATATACCATCCATGCTGGGGGAGTCTGAAAGCACGGGTGTCTCAGAAGAACCAGGGACAGATGGAACTGGAATAAGTCTCCAAGGTAAAGAAGGGACTGAGGATAAAGATGAGACTGTGGCCAACATCCAGCATGGAGGAACTAGAGATGAGACCACGAGAGTAGAGGGGCCATCAACTGGCTCTGAATGGAGTGTGCTTCAGAGTGACTTCATCGTCTCACCACAAATGACTGGGTCAGATGTTTCACAGACAACAAGGGACGGAACTATAGATGCACCCCAAAACCTCAGTGAGAGGGTGGTTACCGAGAAAACTATCCTCAAAGGGGCTGAGGTGGAGATTACTCAACCGCAGGAGCAACAGATCCCAGCAGCCACAACAAAAACCGATGATGATGATGAAACGAGTATCCGGAGTGGAAAAGTTACACAGAAGCAACGTGGGACTTCTGCTGCTGCTGCTCTCCCACAAACGACACCAGTAACTGAAGAGCATGTCGATCTTCAAGAATCATCTAAATTAAGCTTATCGGGACAGCGTGGCGAGGAAGAGGTCGAACAAGTCCTTCGTGGCAAACATGGTGTGCAGAAGACCTCAGGTGAACTTTCTGTCAAAAAGAGGGAAATCCACCTGATCTCTCTGGAGTTCCAAACCGTCGAGATCAAAGAGCAGACAGGGACAGAGACAAGTGTCCAGGATGTGAGTGAACACAACGTCCAGCCACTCCGGCCAACGGTCGGGACAATTCAGGAAGGTGACCAAGAAAATCTTTCCGAGTTCCAGTCTGAACCAGGGCTGGTCCCAAAAGTCCAAACGGAGGAACACACAGATGAAGAGGGCAAACGTGATGGACAACAGCAGGTAAAGATACCAGAGACAGATGCAAAGGAACCAGTCCAACTGAGCGGAACCGCCTCAGAGGCGGTGAGGTCTCAGAGCGTGAACGAGCCAAAGGTGAGTCAGGATAAAGTACGGCTTTGCTCTTTATCACAAAGTAAGACGATCTGAAGTCATGATTCGTTGATTAGCTCGTTGTGTTGGAAATGAATTTTGATGTGAAGAATTTCCCCGACACGTTAACACGATGGTGTCTTTTACATCACGACAGGAACAGGCGAGGAGTGCTGAAAGGACACAATCACCTCAGATGGTGAAGAGAGCCGCTGACGTTTCCCCGAGTGCAACCGTGTGTCTGGAAGCATCATCAGCTCAGCAAAACGAAGCACATGGTGCTGATGAGCGAGTTGAAGAGGCACCAGATGGAACGGCCATGGAGGACATCTTCACTGAAATGCAGCTGCCCTTTGGGACAGGACCCATCAGACAACTCATTGAGGTACCGTAAATAGTTGTGTGGTTTTCATTAAGAACACTAGAACCGACCCAGAGTAACACACCAGCACCACCATGCTTGGTCTCTGTGCTACTTCTGAATGATTAAGCTTTGGTTTGTATCTGTGTCCCAAGGGTCTACCACAGGACGATGCTCCAGAAGCTCTCTTTACACCCACCAGTGATTCTGATGTCCTGCTGAGCAGAACTCTGTCCAGAGTCCTGAGCATCAAGAGCAGTCGTGCGGAGCTGAACCCATCAGCTATGGCCCAGCAGGTAGAGGAGGTCCAGGTGAGATCACAGGCTGCTTCATTCTGCAACGAAGATGCTGGTGGAGTGGAGAAAACAAACACAGACACATAAAAGTTTCCCCATAATTCTGTCAGTATAATATAAATGTATAGGTGTCTGTACCACATGTGAGAAGCATCAGCCCGCTATAGAAACCCAAGCTTTGAGTTGAACAGTGATGACTCGTCCTGTTGACTGCAGGAGTGCAGAGAGCTTGCCAGACTTCAGAGGTCACTGGTTTCTCAGCTGAGAGAAGGCGATGCTGACAACAGGAAGACTCTGGAGCACTTGGAGGACCGGTGGAGCTCGGTGGCTCTGGAAGCAGCTGCCGTGATCCAGAGTAAAGAAGCCCAGCTGCAGCTGGTGACTGACTACAGCACGCAGATCCAAACAGCGAGGAACAAAGTGGATCGGCTGACAGATGAACTGGAAGCTGTGAGAATGTGAGTTATCTAATGAAGATGCTGAGCACTTTTATCTGAGTCCTTCCTTTGTTTCTGGGATGCATTTGAAATGATGTAATTTAAATGTGCCACACAGACTCATGTAAGTTTCTATTAGCATGGTCCTGAAAACAACCTTTTTTCAGGTTTCCACAGGAAAGCTGCCAGAAAGAGGCAGAAGTACTATGTTCCTTACAGAGAAGCATGGAGGAGAACAGATCCATCCTTGGGGAGTTGCTTAGGACCCACATGAAGATCTGTCTCATCCTCACTAGATCTGACACAGAAACAGCAACAACCGAACAAAATAAGCTTCAAGAAAGGTGGAGCACCCTGGAAAGAACTGTTGAGAGCAAGATCCATCACGCAAATGTGCATTCTCACCATGCCAGCACTACTCTGTTAGAGCTGTCCAGTCTGCAGGACCACGTAGACGTAATCAGCAAAGGCCTCAAAGCCAAAGTGTCCTCAGATACCCTGTGGAGTTGCAAGGAGGCGCAGCAGCTGATGGAGGCAAACGCAGACATTAAAGCAGCCTGGAAAAACTACCAATATTTACAGCAGCTGTCTGAGGAGTTTCTCCTCAACTCCCAGTGGGAGAGAGAATCCCAGGAGATACGCCACAGACTTCAGGAGATCCAAAGTAAACTGGGCCACTCAGAAGAACTATTATCTTCCCAAACCAAAAGCAGCAGCAATCCTGTCATGCAGAAGATCATTGTGGTGATGACGGATGCCCTGGCTGTGGCCAGGCAACTGGAGAGTGACATCAAGGGCCGGAGGAAGAAGGTGCCTCTTCTTCCTGAAGAGGTCCACTGGCAGCTCAGAGACCTAAAGAAACTGCAGTCTGACATGATGGCCAAGCAGGGACAACTAGAGTCACTGGTGGAGGAGGTGATGGAGCTCCTTCCACTGCTGGACCAAGCTCAAGAGGTGCCAATTGTACATGAATCTCTAAAATGCCTCCAGGGACTCTCAAAGTCCACCACTGAGAAGCTATCTAAGGCTATGAAAGAAATAGAGTCAGGTCTCCAGACTAGAGAAAAGCTATCTGAGCAGATGGCTGATATAGACTCCTGGACTGTGGCCCATCTACAGTCAGAGGCCTCAAGAACGTCAGAAAGTGAGCTCTTGAGTCCTGCTGAGCTTGACCGCAGAGTTCGGCACATCCAGGAAACCCTGGCTGAGTGTGAGAGGCAGGCTGCAGTCTGCGAGGCTCTCCTCATGAAGAGTAAGGACATCACATCTGAACTGAGCCCCACGGAGACCTGCCAGCTCTTTAACAAGATAAGAAACCTCCAGGAGAACATCAGAGCCATTAGCAGCAGCGAGAAGGCCCATAAAGAGGAGCTGGATATGCTCATCAAGGCCGTTGCTTCCAGAAAAAACAACTTACTCGAAGTTGAAAAAAGCCTGAGGCAGATGTTGGTAGATGTAGGACAGCAGAGATTCCCCATCACGCACGAGTCCTTGAAAGCTCTGAGACCTTTTAAACATAAGATTTCTGAACACAAGTCCCAGGTTGACCTGCTCACACCATGGATTCCCCATGGGAGTACCAAAGAAGTTAACTCAGTTATTTCTGAGCTTCAGAACAAAATAAATACTCTGGAGATAAAAACCAGAGATCACGAGAGTTACCTAAACATGAGGCAATGCGTGGAGGACCTCAAAGAGAACGTTCAGGAGCAAGTTCATCAGACTAAAGAAGATAGCAGGGACCTGAAGGAGAGGTACAACATCTGCCGCACACTCCTCATCCAGTTTCCTTTACTGATGCGGTTGTGTAGAGAAACCCGCTCCAAACTCCAGAAGATCTCTGCTGACCTGTACCCCTCACAACTCGCAGCAGAGCAACAGAGACTGAAACAAAACCAGGACAACCTGGACACTTTGGAGGTTACCCTGCGAAACAACCTCAGTCTCATTGAGTGGAACATCCTTAAAGAAATGGACCTTGAATCAGAAAGGAAAGCCATTAAGAGCTTCCTCTCCAGGACCTTGGAAGAACTTCAGAGACTCCCTTTACTAGAACCAAATCAAGCCCTGATTGACCGAGAATACCAGAAACTCGTGACTTTGAAAAAGACGGTGGAGTTCAAAACGAGAGCGTTTGAGATTCTGGAACAGAAGAAGGGAAGCGAACAACGACGAGGACTTCAGCATCTGATGGACCTAAAGAAGGCAGTCCTCATTCGATGTGACTCACAAATGGCAAGTAGATGGACATCTGAATGTCCCAACTCCACTACCTGCTCATGTTTCGAGTTTGTAAGTAAAAGTGTTTTGTTACTTCTCAGGAGAAAGTGCTCCAGGCCAGCGGGAGTTGGAGGAGCTACGTCCATGCTGTTAAAGAAGCCGTACGCTTTCTGCACGGCCTCGAGGTCTCGCTGCTGCCCCCGCTTGGTTCTGCTGGACTATGCAGCGAAAATCTGGAGCTGACCCAGCAGACCCTGAACTCGCTTCAGCATCAGTTCCAAACCTACGTGGAGCAGCTTCAGAACCAAGCTGCTCTGCACACCGACTTCTCCCCTTACAAGTTGGAGCAGCTCCAGGAAAGCATCCTGAGCAAACTACTGGTCAGGATGTCCACGCTGCAGGCAAAAGGCCACATACGACTGGAGTCTCTCAGCAGGTAGCGGAAGTAGGAATAGTGATCCACAAAAGTCACAAAAGTGATGCTGAAGAATCGCTGCGTGAGTGTGGATCTGTTTTTGTGAGAGGAAGCTTCAATCAACATGTTTTTATGTTGCAGGTGTGCAGAACAGTACAGAAAATTCAACGAGTCCCACGATGAAATCCTCCAGAGGGTCGCAAGTGCAGAAAGCAGGCTTCTGCAGGTTGTCTCTGAAAAGGCTTCCTGTCTCGCTGACTGCATGGACCAGGAGGGACGATTTCAAGTACGCATATTAGATCCTTCTTTTCTAAACACATACGACTCGACTTGAATTACTAATGTGACCTCCATGGCTACTTCCTGTTTAGGTGCTGTCTGATGAGCTAGAGTCGCTGCTGAAGCACCTGGAGGATCTGAGAGAGTGGTGCCCACAGCACGGCTGTCGTGTACGCAGGGAGGCTGCTGTGACCTCCATCTGGAGACGGGCATCAAGGTTACGGAACTGCACACAGAAGCTAACAGCGAGAAGCAAACAGAGAACCACAGAATGGATGAACATCAGACACACCGTGAGTGAATGAAATATATCAGTCAATCAATCAATCAATCAATCAATCAATCAAAGCTTTATTTATAAAGCGCCTTCCACAACCCTGTCAGGGAGCCCAAAGCGCTGAACATGGTACAGTTGTAGGTAAATATATTGAATAAATCAACAATAAAAGCAATTCAAATTACAAAATTCAAATTACAAAATACAAATTACAAAATAGAAATTACAAGATAGATGAAACATTCTGGTACAGGACAAATGTGTGAAACACATTTGGATTGAGTGAACCAATGAAAATTGTGAAATAAATTCAACATAAAAGAGGGTCAAAATCAAACATGTTCAGGGAACGCCAAGCGGAGGAGGTGGGTTTTTAGGCGACTCTTAAAGACTGGCAGAGATGGGGACAGCCTAACTGAGGGTGGCAACTGGTTCCAGAGTGACGGTGCTAGGACTGAGAAAGCCCGGTCCCTACTGGGATGACAACTAGAACGAGGGACAGCGAGGTGGTGCAGTTACTTTTATGTGGGTGTTCAAAGACACAGTTAGATGGATCAGTCAGGTGGATGTGGTGTAAAAATACCTCCAAAAAAGGGTTTCCACAAAAATACAGCTTAGGACCCTCTTATGGAAACGTCGCTGTTTTAGAAGTGATATTGTGCATAATTCTTGTTTTGTTTTGGTTGTTTTTTTTCTTTCATTTCACACACAGACATGAAATATTCCACAAAGCTACCAGGGTCCTAATTATCAGCCCCTCAACACTAACAGTCAGCTGTGCTGTGTTGTAGACATCCTCTAGTCTCTGACTCGTCTTCTGAGGAATTCCAGCTCCTTCTTCTTTAGTAAATCTCTCAAGCTCCTCCAGATGTGATGGTCTTCTGACATGGACCTTCCTCTCCAGCCTACCCCACTGCTCTTGTAGGAGCCGAAACTGTGTACGTGAGAATCAGCGTCCTGTTTTTCAGTCCAGATTATATAATTTCCAGTAAGACTAATATTATCAGGAGTGCTTACCGGACACCAGCGGTCTTGTTGCATGGGAAGGTCTCCCCAAACAGTTTCCCAATTCATGTGTATGTGGGGCCCGTTTCCTGAGACATGCAGGAGTGACGTCAGTAAAAAGTATAAGTGAGGCTGCATTTTGAGGGGATAAGGGCTTGCTGGAAGCTCACAGCCGGAGGCTGGTTGCGTCCTGGCTGAACGCGGTCTCAAAGTTACTGGTGATGTGTTGCTGAACTGTACAAATAAAAAGCCCCACGCTGTTGAGGACAAAGTTGTCTCATTCTCTTGTGTTTTGATAAGGAAAAGAACCACACTCTCAGTGGGATTCAAGTCAGGGCTTTGTGGGGGCCACTCAGTAATGTTTCTGGAGGAGGTTCTTCACCAGGTTTTAGTTTGTTGTCCTGTTGGAAGACAAAGAGACAACTCAAACCCAGTTTTGCTGCTGATTGTTGAAGGTTTTACTTTTCATCTTTCATCAGGATTCTTTCTGCCTTGACTAGATTTCCAGTACTATTTGCACTTTGGAATCCCCACATAATCATACTACCACCACCATGCTTCACTGTGGAGATAGAAAAACACCTCTGCTTTCTATCTGCAGACATAATCAACGTTTCCATGAACAAAGAGCTCGGGTTTCATGTAAATACTTGGGTCTTTATTAACACAGCAAAAGCGTTGTTTTTGCTGATGTTTCGACTCCTCAGAGCACCGCCGCTGTTGTTGGCATCGCTTCCTTTTCTGTTTATCAGTGAGCAGCAGAGGATGTCCTGTCCTCGCTCTCCTCACAGATGACACAGTTCCATGCGTGATCCAAGAGCAGGACATATGTGCAGAGTCAAATAGAAAATCCCACTCAAACTGTGCAATAAAACATACGAAGGAGAAACTGGAGGCCAACTCAGCACAAGAACAATAAAACATAGAAACGAGAGTGAGAACGAAACAAGTCGAAGACGCACAAGAGCGAAACAAGAAGTAGCAAATACAATAAAGCAGTGGTTCCCAAAATTATTTAGCCGCGCACCCCCTTCTATGTCCCGACCATGTCGACGCACCCCCCAGCCCCCCACATCAGGACATGGCTACATATATATATACATATATATATATATATATATATATATATATATATATATATATATATATATATATCAGATGTCAAGCTGATATTTAGAGTGCCCAGGTGGCACATAAACAATGCAATTTAACATTTTTTTAAAGTAGGAACGTTTCTTCTTCCTTCTGCTCTGCATAAACCTGAGCTGATCACCTACTTGTGCGTAATCAAATGTCTATAGGGGAAAAGATGGAAAAGATATAGCCATGAGGTTCACTTTTACCTCAGACCGACTTATTGCTGTTTTATGGTGTGGCTGAATCTGCGATCCGCTGCCACGTGGACTGGAATAACAAATGCTGCAGTAACATGAGATGTGGTCAGGTTCATGAGGAGTCAATGGCTGGAGCGGACTCGACTTTAATACGTCATCCCAAAATAGAAGCTAATATCTTAATATGACCTTGAATTAAAAAATTTGTTATAAAACCTCTTATAAGTTTTTTTTAATCACGGAGGAGGCAGCGCTCATTTCTGCCTTCAGTCTGACGGCACGCCGGAGTTTGCGCAGCGTGCGCGCTTATTGAATCTGTGTGTGTGTGTGTGTGTGTGTGTGTGTGTGTGTGTGTGTGTGTGTGTGTGTGTGTGTGTGTGTGTGTGTGTGTGTGTGTGTGTGTGTGTGTGTGTATTTTCCACATCAATCACTGGTCTAACCAACCAGACCAGCGTGTCCAGTAACATATTAATGTTACAATTAAACAGTTTCACTTCATGTAGGCTAGGAACGTTTCACCTGTCGTGGCCCGACCGCTTCTGCTCCACATAAACTTTGTGCGTGATCAAATGTCTCTACAGGTGCTTTCTGAGCTGAAGAGGCTGTTCTGCCTCAGACTGGATGCGTCATGCGTCTCCATATTAGAGACGGGAACAATCCAATCCAATTTTATTTATAAAGCGCATTCACAAGGCATTACAACCAAACAAGGCGCTGTACACTAAAAATGTTAGTTAATTAAACAGGCGGTATACAAACATGTCGAACACAGATAAAAGATAAAAAGGAAATACAACAAAATTCCCAAAACTAACATCTAAAAATCAATAAGACACAGGGAGAATAAAAAATTAGAAAAACATTGTAAAAAAGAACCTCAATAGTACGGAAGTTGATATTGTAAAGTCCATTTTTAAACAATGCAGATGTAAGTGATGGTCATAATTATGTTGTATAAGCTAGGCTGAAGTAATGAGTTTTCAAGCGTGATTTAAAAATGCTAGCTGTTGGTGCTTGCCTCACTAGCAGTGGTAATGTGTTCCACAGCTTCGGTGCACAGACAGAGAAAGCCCTCTCTCCACGGCTTTTTAAACGTGCATTCAGAACAGCTAGGAGGCTGTTCAGCGCTATTCAAGCGCTATTCAGCCAAAGTTTCATAATCAGAACATTTTTCCAGGTGACACATCCCTCAGAGAGACCGAGTTTCCAGACCGTTTCAGTGGGAGGAAATCTTATCGCATGCACCGTGGTTCTGCGCTGCGCTCCCCTCTACAGATCTTCAGCCCACTGTCCACCGTGGGCGCTCCGGTCCGCGCTGAGCACAGTGTCCAGTATAAATCTCTGATGTTCTGATGGGAATCATTTCTGGATTGATTTAGTTACCTCCGCGATGTGTGTAACGATTAAAATGTCAGCTCATCTGTGTGTGCATCAGTGTGCGTCGGCAGCGCCGGCGCTCCGCACACGCACACCACGCACAGCGCGTAGGGCACCACGCTGGGGAAGGGGCACCAAACGCAAGCTTATGAAAAATAATATATATATGATAAAGACAGATTTCAATTAGAAGATGTGCAAAGCAAGTTAACAGCATGTTTACAGAGAGAAAACAATACAAAAAGGAAAGGAGATGGACCGTGTCCACTTTTCACTCTGTCCGGGACGTCCGGACTGGGGGTTCTTATATTGATGAAAATGTCCAGCTGTTCATCCAGGAGCAGGGATCGAATTATGGGGGAGCTGGATATCCTATACATCCAGGGGAGCCGGAAAAAAGTTTTCTACCTATATTACATCATTTATGGACTCTTTTACGCAGAGAGCACAGAGAGCGGCACAGCGCTTCGTTGTTGCGCAGCGATCCAGGCAGCTGCTTCCAGCGCACGGTCCATTCTCAAAGTGGCGCAACCAAAAAGCTATAATTAACACATGATCATTCATGTCCGCACATGTTCTCTACTTTCTGTCTTATTTGTGCCTGGCGCTCTGCTACTGCAGAGCTCATCACCTGTGCTGCGGTGATTTCACCTCACTGACGCAGCATCGAAACGCGCTCTCCGCTTTGCGGTCAGGAGATCTTTGATCTGCTCAGATGAGGTGAAAAAGTAAGAATCCAGGCAGCAGATTTTCTGGAGAGTTTAGAGGAGATGCAGGAAGATGAGAGACAGACAGGACAGGAAATAGTTCAATAAAAACAAGAAAACAAAACAAAGTGTTGAAAAGTAAAATGTAGGTAGATTTATCTCCACTACACGTTTTTACCTGTATAAAGTAATAAGTTACACACATGCAATATTTATACATCTGATACAATTCAGATCACCTTCAAAACTCAGTCACACTCCCAGGGCCGTTTCAAGACATTTTGGGGGCCAAGGCAAAATCCCCCCCCCCCCCCCACACACACACACACACACACTAAATATCAGTCCTACTTTTTGGAAAATAATAAGCAGTTTGTGCATACAAGAGAATTAAAGAAAATTTAAGGTGAAGCGCTTGCACATACAGTGTTATTGTGTTGTTTTTTCTGTATGTATGTGTGTTTGTGTGTGTGTGTGTGTGGGGGGGGGGGGGCACCACGAAGCCTTTGTGCTTAGGGCACCAAAATAGCTAGCAACAGCCCTGTGCGTCGGGGTAATTCTTTCAAAACAACCAACGTCCTTGAGTTGATCCGTCAACATAAACAGTCAAATGTAAATATATGTAACCTGCTATTTAACTGTTTTGCCTTCTTGTGAAGATTGTTGCAAAGAGAAACAACTAAACTTGATTAACCCCAGAGCCACGCGCACTGCGCTGTACTCCATGACTGTAAATGAGGGGAGACGATTTAATCGGATCCTTTTCTTTTCAACATGGTTTCATATAAAGTTTCATTCAGTAAAAACTTTAGTTACACCAATCTAATGAGACAGAGCCTGGATTTGTATTCTGAACAGTTTAAACATGTTTAAAACGGAGACATGCGTGACGCGTCTAAAATCTGCATCTGCTCCGCTATTATGGAAATTAAACTAACAAGATGAATAACACGAAATTATTTTAGGCACAGACAACACCCCCCACACTTTTGAAAAGCTTGCAACGCGCCTGATGCTAATATAATAATATAATAATGCTAAAATGCTCAGATGGGAATCATTTCTTGATTTATTTAGTTACATCCACAATGTTCTGTGTGTGAGGTTTACAATGTCAGAACACCTGCATGAGACAGGTGTTAATTACAATCTGCCAGAATGACTCGCCACATTCAGATTTCTCCAACACCGTTAAAAATGATCAAATACGGAACACATCTTGCAATTAACAGCGTGCGCAGGCCAGAGTGCTGAAGCTTGGAGCGCATTATTATGAAGCTAGGGCACATGCGCCTCGTGATTTTTATCTTGAGAGGCGCTATTGAAATGATACTTTCTTCTTCTTCTTCTTCACATGCGGAGGGCACACACACACACACACACACACGCACACGCACACACACACACACACACACACACACACACACACACACAAGCAAAATACTTGTTTTCAATTACATTTATTGGGCCCACTTACTTTTTCTTAGGCCCACCCACAAATGAGTTTGTGGCTACGCTAATGGTGACATATGACAGACTTCTCTGAGCTCCGCAGCCATTACACTTTTCACCTCGCGCACCCCCTAGCGGCAGCTCACTTAGTGAATCCCTGCACTGCACGTGAACTGGGCAGGAACACAGATCATGAACACCAAACAACTAAAATACAAAAGATGTTTTAAGGAAGCCATAGAAATAAGGAGACATGGACACACAACCATGAGAGGAGGAGGTCTACACATGGGACTGTCATCGGTGAGGAGAGTGTGGGCAGCAGAGGGCGACACCATCCTCTGCTGCCCACAGCTAAACGGAGGAGTGAGTGATGCCACCAACAGCGGCTAGCTCTGAGGATTACAAAGTTAGTCGAAACTTCAGCAAAAAGAAGTTAAAACAAAACGTTTGCTGTTTAAAAAGAACCAAGTCATGTAGTTAGATGAAGTACACAGAAGGAATGTACAAAAGAGCTTGTTTCCTCTCATCTGAACTAAAGACATGTTTCCAGGGTTTAGCTTGTTCTTAGCACACTTCAGTCTGGCCTAAAGTTGTCTCAGAGCTTAGGTATTCTGTCTACAACCTCACCGCCTATTCAGAGCTCTGGTGATGGACTTCTTTCAGACAGTCCTGACTTGTCTCAGTCATTCTCCACAGTCTAGTTTGCTTCTCTGGGCTCTTTCTCTCAGTAGGTTTCTCTGATCTCTGTCTTCCTTACCTGTCAGGATTTCTTTCTACTATCTGGCTCACTCCAGATCTTGGCTCCTGGAGATGCTGTGACAACGTATTTCACTCACCTGCTTTGTGAGCATCAGACTTTTTCAGCTCATTTTGAGATGTTCTCAAGCAGCAAGTCACTGGCATTTTATAATGAATATAAATAAATGTGATAAACTTGGAGTGTTACAGACTAAGAGCACAACTGTGGTTTGTTCTATGGATCAATAAAAAGGTCCTTGAAGGGGACTGATACGTTTGACTGGTAGTTTCTGTGTTTTGTGGAATATATTCATATCTGTATGCACAATAAAGCTAGGGTGTGTTTATTTCATCTTCCTTGTTTAACAGCATGTAGGAACACATTTTGATACGATAAAATGTTAAGAGTGTCAGGGCTGGTACGAAGGACTGGACCCAAACACAGAGTTCGGCAGCACAAGGCTTTTATTTAGGTTAAGACTTAGGCCTAGTCCACACGTAGCTGTTTTTTTAAAAAACGAATATCCGCCCCTCCAAAAACTTGCATCCACACCACTGCGTTTAAAAAAAAACTCTGTCCACACGTACCGGATAAATACGTTGTTAAGGACATGCCAGACCTGTAGGTGGCAGTACTTCCCCCGTTCTTAACCTCGTCTTTCGTCTGTGGTTTTCCGCAGGGAGCAGTAATTCCGCTTGCAAAAACAAACGAGCAGAAAGCGCTTGGACAATTGATGGATCGGGTAGTGACAGAGCGCAGCTCTGAAGGCTTCCATGCTGTCGGCTAGTGTAAACACAGGTCGCACACATTTTTTTGTCGCGGAAAGTGACGTTGCGGACTTTAAAACTCCGGTTTTGTCTGTCCACCCAAAACAGAGAAAACGCAGATCTTCACTTTGGCCGGAGTTTTTAAAAAGATCCGTTTTCATGTGAAAAAACTCTGTTTTCGTGTGGATGACAGGCCAAAACGTAGAAAAATATTTACGTTTTGGCAGATCCCCGGCTACGTGTGGACAGGGTCTTAGTTAACTAAGGATCAAAAAACTGAGCTGAGTCAAAGGACCCAGAGATCAGTAGCTTCATGCCCGGCTGCAACGGGAGAATCAAAGCTAACAAACTGGCAGCTGAAAGAGAACAGAAGCTGGTTAAATACACACAAGAACAGCTGGGAGAAATCAGAGTGATGAGGAACAGGAAACAGAACTGAAACTGGAGAGGTGACACCAAAATAAAACAGGAAGTGGGACGGATGAACAGGTCTCACAGCAGGGCGTGACAAATAAGATAGCTGTTGATGTTTCCCTCATCTGTATATTTGTTGGGCCCTTTCACTTTAGGTGGAGAAAGCTTCTGGCATGCTGGAGCAGGTGGAGGCTGAGCTTCCTGGTGACTCCAGGCTGAAGAGCTCCACTGAGGACCTCCAGGACCTGCTGTTGTCCTGGGAGCAGTACCAGGACCGACTGGACTGTGAGCATCGAGCACTGTCTGCACTGGAGCTGCGCACAGCCAGGCTGCTGGGTGTTCCCGCCCACCTGGAAAAGGCTCCTCCCACTCCACTCTGTCAGCAGCTGCAGCAGCTGCAGCGTCGATACAGCAGGTGTGTTTTATTGTGTGCCGTTCATATTTTTGTTACTCAGCCAGTGTTCGTGGGTCTGGTGGACCCGCTAGAGTTTTGGCTTCGCAAATCAACACGATCCAACTAATCAATGTCAAAATTCCCAACAGATGTTTGCTTCATCCCAATTAAAACCACATGAACAGCAAACACGGCTAGTATTTGTTAGATCACATTTATGAATTTATGTGCAATTTTTTATAAAATGTAAACATTTAAAAAAAGAAATCTGTTTTAATCAAGTTTAGTTAGCGGAAAGAAAGACATTTACAACTGAAACAAAAATATTTCACAACTATTGACTTTTATTCAGTTGAACTTCATTAGATCCGTTTACAGAACACAAGGTCAACACATACAGTAACAATATCATTCGTGACACATACGCCCCATTGAATTCTTTGTCTGTTCACACCCTAGCCTATGCAAAACAAGAGGGGCGGAGTTTTACTGTGTGTGTTTAGTTTTCCTGTCCAACTCAGGTCCACAAACGTTGCAGCGCTTCTTTTTGTTGCTGCTGGCCACAACCTAGAATAATGAAAAGATCAGAAATAATTTTCACACCAAATTTCACCAGAGTGTGGTGATGATGACTTATTAGGCTCTCATAAATGTAATTTAATAGATGGGGAAACACTTGAATGACATAAGACACACAGATCTTTGTCACAATTAGCATTCGTGGACTCACCCATCTTGGCTCACAGAAGGGAAGGTTGTTGTTGATTTAGCATCCAGGAAACAGCAGAGAACATATCGGCTAGCAGAAGCTAATGCTAGCATTAGCAACTCCACCACACAGCAGAACTCCTCCAGGCTTGTGTTATTTGTGGAGATAATACATCAACGTTGCAGAGCAAACTGTCAGTGGTAGTTGTGTTGCTTTACTTCCTGAAACAGGAGCGCCAGAGCTTCTTTCTCACATAGACTGACTCACAAGGTGTTCATTTATACTGAAAATGGAAAAGGGAGTGTACTTGGTTTTAAACTCATTGTTATTTCTTGTCCAGAAGTATGTTTTGCTTTTTATGATCTTCCCAATGTTTATGTTTAAGAGCTAAGTTGTGCTCATTATGTGAGTTTAGCTGCATTAGTGTGTCGGCTCTTTCAGCGTGAAGCAGAAAAGCAGGGAGGGTTTGCTGCACGCTAGGCTGGAGCTGGAGGAGAGAGAGAAGATCCGGGAGGAGCTGCAGGTCCTCCGTGTGTGGCTCCAGGCTGCAGGTGGTCTTCTGTCAGAGATGGAGCAATGTAGCAACACACAAGAGCTGCAGGTGAGATTTGCTCTGAATCAGTCGTACGTCCCACAAACCAACAAAGTCAGTTTCAGACGGAGAACAGTTTCTGAACTTATCAGGTTTTTCATGTTTGTGTGGCTTTAAAAACGTCTCTTTACTGTGTTCACACACACCGACTAACAAATGAACTAAACAGCATTGGTACCTGTCATGGTCTGCTTCCTGCGTCCCCCTCATGTGTTCTCCAGCCCCCCTCTAGGTTCCCCGTATGTGTCTCCTTGTGTTCCCCAGCTGACTCCAGGTTCTCCCCCTAGGTTTCTGTGCCCCTTTAGGTCTCCAACCTCTCCAGGTGTCCCTCTAGGATCCCCCTCATGTGTACCCAAGCTTCCTGTGCCCCTTCTTGTCTCCAGCTCCCATCGGGTTTCCCAGGTTCACTTATTCTTTAGTTTTATTTGTATTTATATTATCTAGCTAATTTTCACCTGTAGTTTTCATTGGTTCAGGTTCCTTCCTTGGTCCTTCCCCACCAATTTATTAGTTCTCCTTTTCTCCTTAGATCATTTGTCTTGTTCTTCTAGTCTTTAGGTTTGGTTATTATTCATAGGTCATGTTTTATTTCCCCCTCCTCAGCTTAGTTTCCTCTCCCTGATTAGTAAATAGATTTCACCAGGTTTCTCTCTCCCCACACACCTGCAGCTAATCTCCCAATCATCCTGCCCTTGCGTATATAACCTTGTCTGCGTCTCATTAAATCCCCCCTCCCTCCCTCCCTCCCTTAGGTCTCTAGGTCTTGGCTTCGTGCCCTACTAGGTTTTCTTTCTACTCGTCATTCTAAATAAAGAATGTTTAATTTTACATCCTCTCCTGCCTCGTGTCGTTCTGGGTATCTGCGTATTGGGTCCTCCTACTCCTCCAAACCCAGAGCAAGACAGTACCATCACAGTTGGTCACATATGTGTTTGATTGAATTTAACGTGGTGCCCTGCAGCACACACATTAAATAGTTAAATGGTTCTTTTTGTGATATTCTGGAGAAAAAATGTTATTTTCGTTAAAAAATAAAAACACCAAGGTGAATGTAGAAAGGAGCGTGGATTTATTAGTGAACATTTGCAGATAAGTGAGCTGATTCCCTGGATCCGATCAGTTGTTTCTGTTCTAGTTTCTTTGTCTTTAAAATAAACGTGAGTCTATCAGCCACAGGATCCGGGTCACCCTTTGTTCTAAACTGTTTATTTATTTCTTCTCATTTATATCTAAAATAATCAGTTTGATCTGGTAATAGGATACACATTTATATAAAAGCAGTTCTTTTTTTCCAGTTTGAATCAGTACAAGGTCCAAGTTGTCGTCGTCTTCCTTCCGCTTATCCGGGTCCGGGTCGCGGGGTCAGCATCCCAACTAGGGAGCTCCGTCCTCTCTCCGGCCACCTCCACCAGTTCCTCCAGCAGGCGTGCAACGCAGGCTCCCAAGGCGTGAGATGTAACCTCTCCAACGTGTCCTAGGTCGACCCGGGGGCCTCCTGCTGGCAGGACATGCCCGAAACACCTCCCCAGGGAGGCGTCCAGGAGGCATCCTGACCAGATGCCCAAACCACTTCAACTGACTCCTTTCGATCCGGAGGAGCAGCGGTTCTACTCCGAGTCCCTCCCGAATGTCCGAGCTCCTTACCCTATCTCTAGGGCTGAGCCTGGCCACCCTACGGAGGAAAATCATTGCGGCCGCTTGTATCCGTGATCTTGTTCTTTCGGTCATTACCCAAAGCTCATGACCATAGGTGAGGATTGGGACGTAGATCAACTGGTAAATCGAGAGCCTGGCTTTCTGGCTCAGCTCCCTCTTCACCACGACAGATCGGTTCAGCGTCCGCATCACTGCAGACGCTGAACCAATCCGCCTGTCGATCTCCCGATCCCTCCTACCCTCACTCGTGAACAAGACCCCGAGATACTTAAACTCCTCCAATTGAGGTAGGACCTCTCTCCTGACCCGGAGTTGGCAAGCCACCCTTTTTCGGTCGAGAACCATGTTCTCAGATTTGGAGGTGCTGATCCTCATCCCAGCTGCTTCACACTCGCTTCAAACCTACCCAGCAAGAGCTGAAGGTCAGATCTGGATGAAGCTAGGAGGACCACATCATCCGCAAAAAGCAGAGACGAGATTCTCCTGCCACCAAACTCGGCACACTCCACACCACGGCTGTGCCTAGAAATTCTGTCCATAAAGGTAATGAACAGAACCGGTGACAAAGGGCAGCCCTGGCGGAGTCCAACTCTCACCGGGAACAGGTCCAACTTACTACCGGCTATGCGGACCAAACTCACGCTCCTCTGGTAAAGGGACTGAATGGCCCTTATCAGAAAGCCACCCACCCCATACTCCTGGAGCGTCCCCCACAGGGTGCCCCTGGGGACACGGTCATAAGCCTTCTCCAAATCCACAAAGCACATGTGGATTGGTTAGGCAAACTCCCATGCCCCCTCCATCACCCTTGGAAGGGTATAGAGCTGGTCCACAGTTCCACGGCCAGGACGAAAACCACATTGCTCCTCCTCAATCTGAGATTCAACTATCAATCGGACCCTCCTCTCCAGTACCTTGGAGTAGACCTTTCCAGGGAGGCTGAGGAGTGTGATCCCCCTATAGTTGGAACACACCCTCAGGTCATCCTTCTTAAAGGTGGGGACCACCACCCCGGTCTGCCACTCCACCGGAACTGCCCCCGATGTCCACGCAATGTTGCAGGGGCATGTCAACCACGACAGCCCTACAACATCCATAGCTTTGAGATACCGAAGACGAATCTCATCCGCCCCCGGTGCTCTGCCACTGTGTAGTTGTTTGACTACCTCAGCAACTTCTGCCCCGAGATTGGACCGTCCATCCCCAGGTCTTCCGGCTCTGGTTCCTCCTCGGAATGCGCATAGGTGGGACTGAGAAGCTCCTCAAAGTATTCCTTTCACCATCCGACTATAGCCCCAGTTGACGTCAGCAGCTCCCCATCCCCACTGTAAACAGTGTGAGTGAGTTGCTGCCTACCTCTCCTGAGGCGCCGGACAGTTTGCCAGAACCTCTTTGGAGCCGATCGATAGTCTTTCTCCATGGCCTCACCAAACTCCTCCCACGCCCGAGATTTTGCCTCGACAACTGCCACTGCTGCACCCCGCTTGGCTATCCGGTACCTGTCTGCTGCCTCCGGAGACCCACGGACCAGCCACGCCCTGTAGGCCTCCTTCTTCAAACTGACGGCTCCCTGAACCTCTGGTGTCCACCAGCGGGTACAGGGGTTGCCACAACCACTGGCACCGGCCACCTTGCAACCACAGCTAGCAACAGTCACCTCAACAATCGCAGAGTGGAACAAGGCCCACTCAGAGTCAATATCCCCCACTGCTCTCGGGACGCGGTCAAAGCTCTGCCAGAGGTGGGAGTTGAAGACCGTCTTAACAGGTTCCTCTGCCAGGTGTTCCCAGCAGACCCTCACTATGCGTTTGGGTCTGCCAGGTCTACGCAGCATCTTCCCCTGCCATCTGATCCAACTCACCACCAGGTGGTGATCAGTTGACAGCTCCGCTCCTCTCTTCACCTGGGTGTCCAAAACATACGGCCGCAGGTCAGATGATACGACTACAAAGTCTATCATCGACCTGCGACCTAGGCTGCCCTGGTACCAAGTGTACCGATGGGCATCCTTATGTTCGAACATGGTGTTCGTTATGGCCAAACTGCGGCTTGCACAGAAGTCCAATAACGAAACACCACTTGAGTTCAGATCAGGCGGGTCGTTCCTCCCAATCACACCCCTCCAGGTCATGCTGTCAATGCCTATGTGGGCATTGAAGTCCCCCAGCAGGACAATGGAGTCCCCTGATGGAGCACTATCTAGCACTCGTCCCAGGGACTCCAAAAAGATGGGTACTCTGAACTGATATTTGGCCCATAAGCACAAACAACAGTCAGGACCCGTTCCCCGACCCGAAGGCGCAGGGAAGCTACCCTCTTGTCCCCCGGGGTAAACCCCAACACACAGGCAGAGAGTCTTGGGGCTAACAAAAAGCCAACCCCAGCCCTCCGCCTCTCACTCGGAGCAACTCCAGCAAAGGAGAGTGTCCAACCCCTCTCAAGGACTTGGGTTCCAGGGCCAATACTGTGTGTCGAGGTGAGTCTGACTATATCTAGCCAGTACCGCTCAACCTCTCTCACAAGCTCCTGCTCCTTCCCCGCCAGCGAGGTGACGTTCCATGTCCCAAAAACCAGTTTCCTTGTCCGGGGATAGGACCGTTAAGGCTCCCGCCTTGGTCTGCCACCGGATCCACACTGCACCGGACCCTTCAGGTTCCTCCTGCGGGTGGTGGGTCCACAGTTGGATGAGCCCATGTATCCAGTTTGGGCTGGGCCCGGCCGGGCCCCATGGGCGAAAGCCCGGCTATCAGGCGCTCACTCACGGGCCCCAACCCCAGGCCTGGCTCCAGGGTAGGACCCCGGTAACCCTCCGGGCCGGGTGCTCCGACTCCTTGATAGTTCCTCCATGAAAGATCCTCTGAACCGTTCTTTGTCTCACACTTCACCTAAGACCAATTTGTCATGGGAGACCCTACCAGGGGCACAAAGTGCCCCAGACAACATGGTTCCTAGGATCATTAGGGCACTCAAACTCCTCCACCACGATAAGGTGATGGTTCAAGGAGGAGAAGGTCCAAGTTCAGAGAATAAACTACACTTACTGCTGCATGTGATGACAGTCTTGTGCTAATCAATGCATCTTTGTTTACACCAACAATTATTCTGTCTCAAAGTGTTTCACTGAACTAAAGCAACACAGGTTCAAATAAGACCAAACAGACCTGTGCCGGCTTGTTCACATACACGAGAGACATGAGCGTTCCTTTTACTGATGTTTAATGCGGTCTTGCATCTTCCTTATCTTTACACCACATGAACACCATAGAACTAATGAAAAAGCATAAATCATGTACAAATTAACGAGTTATTTGCCTTAAGTTTGCTAACAGAGTTTATAAATAAAGAATAAACCACTTTGGCCTGCTAGTAGACAAACCGGTAGACTTGAAAACACTTAACCTTCTTCTCAAATGTTCTTAATTGGCACAAATTGACCGTGCGCATCAATAAAATCTCCGAAGCTTCGAGAGACAGGAAGTGACGTTACAGCGCTCTTAAACACACCTTATCAAAATAAACCAATTCAAAATTACTCAAATATCAAAAAATATTAATTATGTGCACCTGTAAATGCTACGAAATGTATTGAAAACATGAAAAATAATACTTTAAATAAACATGTTAAATAAACTTTCTAGGGTATTAACTAAATCACAGTGCCATCTTGTGGTGAAACTTTGATCAAAAAAGTTGTTTAAACTGCATTTACAAGACCATTTACACACGTTTGCTTCTCTAGATCCCACAAAAATACAGACAAGTTAAAACATCCTCCTCCAATCCGTTTTTGTACAGAAAAGCAGCGTAACCGATGTTTATCATCCCCATTGTCCTCCGGAAGACTTCACTTTGTTTTCAGGTATTTTTATTAAACCTGGTGAAGATATGAACGATCAGGCTTTACTTTAAAAGCGCCGTCCACAGGGAACCCAAGGCGCTGCACACAGCACATAAAACAAAACCAGAACTCAGTGCAATAAATTAAAATAACACAAAAACATGAGAAAAGATTTAAAACATGGATTAAGAAAAATGTAATAGGAATAAGAAAAAACAGAGAGAGGGCAACACACAACTAAGGGCCAATCTTAAACATGATCAGGGAACGCTGAGCGAAAAAAAGAGTTTTAAGATGACTCTTAAAATCCGGCAGGGATGAGCTGGTTCCAGAGCGAGGAGCTAAAACGGAGAAAGCCCGGTCGCCGCGAGTCTGAAACCTACGAGGGACAGCGAGCAGGCCCTGATCAGAGCCTGATGGAACATGTCTGTTCAGGAGCTCAGTTAATAGAGGGGGGCAGCTGCCTAAACGGTATTAAAAAAAAACACCAGAACACAGACCGGAAGCCAGTGCAGCGAGCCCAGCACAGGACCGATGTGATCCGAGGCCCAGTCAGAAACTTAGAGCTCAGCTCTGCACCAGCTGAAGGTGCGATGATGACTGAGCCAGCCCAGCATAAAGAGAGTTACAATAATCTAGCCATGAGATTACAAATGCATTTAGTACCCGCTCCAGGTGGGCATTCGACAGCATAGGCGTGATTTTGGTACAGAGTCGCAGATGGAAATAACAGGACCGGGTCACCGAGTTCATGTGAGCATCAAACTTTAGTCCAGAGTCAAATCCCACCCCCAAGTCAGATACGTGTCAGCGTGGTTAGAGGTTCTGTTCTGCTCAGCGAGGACGAGATGAGTCTCTAATGAGAGCAGACGTGTGTGTGTGTGTGTGTGTGTGCGTGTGTGTATGTCTGTGTGTGTGTGTGTGTGTGTGTGCGCGCGCGCGTGTGTTATTTTAGAACAGTCCATTTTCTAAAGGTTTTTTTCTGGAGTTTATGTTTAGATTTGGAAAGAGTTTGTATCCCTACTCCTGAGAGGAGCTTGTTCTTTTCACATGGGTTTAATTCTCAGCTCTGGTTTAAGTTTTTCATTGATTGTGTTTTATCTACATGCCAACAGAATTGGCTACTGTTCATCTGAATGAAACTGGCCTCCTGCCTCAATGCTGTTTGTTTCTGCAGTTCCGTTTTCTAAAGCAGATCTTTGTTTGATTCCAGGAGCTGTACGGCCAGCTGTGTGCTCACAAAGTTTTACTGCAGCGGATTAAGGAGAACCTTAATGTGAAATACTCTGACGTGCATGCTCTGGTCCCGGCTGAGCTGGACAGCCAACTACAGGAAGTCACAACATCTCTGCAGGAAGTGGAAATGAAGGTAACAAAACTTTCAAGCTTTGAAGGTTGTTTTTTTTAGCACTAAGCATATTTTCAACAGACGATGGACTTGTGTTGTCATTCACTTGATTTTGTTTGCTTCTAACTCAAATACGTTCTGTTTATTCACAGCAGCTTTCTGTTGTAACACTGATCAAACACGTCTATTTCTTTTATCGTTTACCAAACAAACCTTAAATTACATCACAGCTTAAATAAATAAAGAACACACACACACACACATATATATATATATTCTCAGCAGCTCTTGACTCGATCTTTGATTAGTTATGTCTGAATCTCCTCTCTTGGGTCTTCTGCCCTGTCGCTCTTTGATGGATGAGCTCCTCACCTGTTTATTCACTCATTTCTGCTGTTTTTCTTAGTGTGATTTGATTTGTTGTTTGAAAAGGGAGGGCAAAGAGGCAAAACGTAAGACAGAGAAGTGGGATCTGAGGTTCCAGCTTTACAGTACAGTAAGGGCAGCTTTAAATCAGATCTCCACACAGTTTCACAGCACTTCACTTTCAGATGTGGTCAAAGCATTTCACAAGAGAGAAAGAAGAATCCGTCAGCTTGCATGACAAAGCAGCACTTAAGGACTTGATCCTAGGTTCTTCTCTTTTGGAGCAAACGAGAACAACACATCTGGGGATTTAGGCCCTGAGCAGCACTCCTGCACCTTCTTACGGGAAGTCAAAGTGTGTTAAAGTGTCTGTTAGGGATTTTATCAATACACCCATTTCCTGGAGTCGAAGAGGAAAGGGAACTAGAAACAATAAGTTAGACATACAACCAAATCATGATTTAGTGGCAAGTGCGCAGGGCAAATGCCCCGAACATCTGGTCACAGACTTTATTTATACAGAAGAGATAAGAAAGGAATGGGAGTAGATCATGTGAGAGTGAGTTTGTGTGTGTATCGGAGGACAAGAATGTGTGTGTGTGTGTGTGTGTGTGTGTGTGTGTGTGTGTGTGTGTGTGTGTGTGTGTGTGTGTGTGTGTGTGTGTGTGTGTGTGTGTGTGTGTGTGTGTGAATGCTTTCAGGACATTCAGTTAATAGATCTGTTAATAGGACTAAAGTAATGAAATATAAAATTTCCATAACAGTGTCACTTAGCCCTGGGTCTCAGTAATGTTTAAGTTTTATTGTCTTTAGAGTTTGTCTCAGAGGACCGTGGTAGTTTTTACTCTGCTGTCACACCTGTTCGAGTTTCTCCCGTCTGTATCTGGTCGTGCTTTGCTCATCAGATCGGAGAGGCAGTGGAGAGAAGTGGTCCCGTTCACAGGCTGGGGGCCAAGCTTTCTGACATCCTTGCAGGTCTGAGATCAGTTCAGAACCGGCTGGAGGAGAGAAGTTCCACTGTGACTAAAGCAAAGATCACACAGAAGGTGCTTTCTTAGGTTTCTGTGTTGAGTTTTGTAGAATTGTGAAGTAAATCTATGTAATTATTTGAAAACACTCATATTTTGTAGAAAATCATTAATTTCATGGCATCTCAAATCAAAAAGTCCTGAACAACATAACTGGTGTCTTGCATCCGTACTCAGCGTGTGTGGGATGAGCTGGACCGGTGGCATTCCCGCCAGGCAACACTAGAAGTGGAAATGCAAGACCTGGAGAAGCCAGAGGAGGCCCTGATCCTCACAGAGAGACTGGTGGAGGTCCAGCAGCTTCACTCCTTGGTGTCCAAACAGGCAGAGCAGAGGACCACCTTACTGAGCAAGGTGTTTCCTCCATGTTTATGAATGAAGTTGTGTCTTTGATAAATGTGAAGCCATGTCATACTCTGATGTTAGTTGTTGCATAGATCTCAAATTTGCACACCTCTTGAACGTGTAGAGGTGTGTGTAAGGGTTGCTGTCTGTGCTGAGGTGATGCTGTTTCTGCTCAGATACACACGTGGCTCCATGAGCATCAGGAGATGATCAACAGCTCTAAAAGCTGGATGGCTGAGGCTCAGTCATGGCTTGCTGCTCCCTGCACGTATACCACAGCCAAATGCTTGAGGAGCCACATTCACGCCCTGCAGGTCACTCCTCTGCCCGTGCTCCCACCTCTACATGCTGCACTTCACACACTCTGTTTAGTTTCACAGCATTCAATTGTGTTCTGATGTCTGATGATCCGGTGCAGAGTGTGCTGAATGACGCATCCCAGATCCGGAAGACGCTGCAAGGTTTCAGCTCAGTCCTGAAGGAAATGTCGCAGGTTTGTGATGTCACAGCCCTCCAGGAACAACTAGTGGAGGCAGATTGTCAAGTGGCGGATGTTCAGGACAGCTTCACATCTCCTTTATCTCAGCTGGAGCATGCTGCTGATGTGAGTTCCAGAATCAAACCCTGTTTTCTTTTTGAATTCCCCGTTAACTAACGAATGTCTGGGTGCCTTCTTAAGGAGGTGGAGGCTATTGAAAGTGAAGTGAGACAGATGGAGAATGATGTAACAGAGATTAAGACACTGCTGTCTTCTCCAGAGGCTTTTCCTAGCCCCAGAGAGGACAACCTCAAGGTGAGACCTGTAAAAAAGACGCTCTTTCAACTGCTTTGTTGTTTACCTTTATTATTTTGTCTTTGTGATCACAGATGGTTGAGCAGAAGATTCAGTCCATGAGGAGAACGGTGGCTGAGATCCAGAAATGCAAACCAGACTTGTGTCTCCCGGGGAAAGCTGAGGAAACTCTTGTTGTTTTTACTGTGGTGGACCAGCTCCAGACTCTGCTCCTGGAACTGGAGAAGGTCAGTCTGCCAGTAAGCCAGGAGAACAGTCAGATGGTTTCAGCTAGGAGGAGTCCCATTTATCTTTGGGTCTCTGTTTTTGCAGAAAGTCCCTGCTCTGTTCATCCAGCAGCCTCCAACTCCAGTTACAACCACAGCAGCAGTCAGAGTCCATGCACCCACTTCTCCAGCAGCTGAGGCGAGTTTGGTCAAAAATGGGGCCACTTACACATTCCTCAGTAGACAAGAGAGATAATCAGCTAGATGGATGCTGCGGTCTGATTCTTGTCCTACAGGAGGAGACAGGTCAAATCACAATAGCCCACGTGGAAGACGATGTCCTGAAGCGATCTGGAGGCACGCTGCAGACGGTGCAGCAGTCCTCCACAGAACAGAAACCATCTAGGAGACCGGATAGCCACCAGGTAGGAGCAGAAAGAAGCCACACCTTTGAGATGGTACAAAAGAACTCGTTTCCGTGTCACATGAGATAAGCAGTGTTGGGGAGAATACTTTGGAAATTTAGTACTGTACTCTAAATACTTGGAATAGTTCCCCTTACGATCAGCATTTAAGTCTATTAAACATCACCGTGTGTGTTGGTAGCTACTCCCGCAGGTAAACAGAGGACATGTTTATGCTAAACAATATGAACTGACCGAGGAAATAAAACAATTTCATTATTTTTGTTACCTTATTTATAAATTGTCAACATATTCTATTTCTGTAATAAAGTCACAAAGTGGTTGAATATAGCGTTACTGTCTTTAACACCATCCTTCGTGCTACTTCTTACTTTTCATTTGCAGTTGACATAACTATTGAGCTCACCAGGAATAATTGGTACAACTATTGAGTCGTTTGCAACCAAAGTGCTACTAGTTCCCATTCACTCCATTGTTTATGCCAGGCAAAAGCAAACAAACTGCTGCCGGATCAGGAGAATTACTGCGCTGGTCACTAAATGCTTTTTACTCTCTCATCTAACTCTGGTAAATACGGTAATAGATACATTTTCACTTTGGTGTGGAATATAACTTTAAGGTGTTTCTTCGGATTAGATGTTGAGTCTTTGGCCGCAGCTAGTAGGTTGTTAGCTGGGAGACAAAGATTGCACTGCACCGTCAGATTTTGTGCACGTTGCTCCTCTTTTAGAGTGTAAAACTGCTTGAATTTCCAGGAAGTGAATGCATTTTTTCTTTCACTGCTAGTAGGTTGATTTGGCTGCGATTGTGGCTCCACCCACTCCACCTCCAGGTCTGAATCCATACCTGGCCACTCACGCTAACCCTGGTGCTTGCTAGTCAGGGGTGTAGCCATCTCATGGTTTAGGCCATAGCGTTGCTATGGTTACAGAGGCACGTCGTTTAGGTGCATTATGGGATAGATAGCCTCCACAACTCAGAGAAATGCGTTGCC